TGTGTGTGGTGGCTCTTGATGCACTGATTCCAGCCTCAGTCCACTCCTTGTGAAAGTCCCCAACACTTTTGAATGGCCTTTTCCTGACAATCCTCTCCAGGCTGCGGTCATCCCTGCTGCTTGTGCACCTTTTTCTTCCACACTTTTCCCTTCCACATAACTTTCTATTAATGTGCTTTGATACAGCACTTTGGGAACATCCAACTTCTTTTGCAATTACCTTTTGAGGCTTTCCCTCCTTATAGAGAGTGTCAATGATGGTTTTCTGCACAACTGTCAGGTCAGCAGTCTTTCTCATGATTGTGATTCCTACTGAACCAGACTGAGAGACCATTTAAAGGCTCAGGAACCCTTTGCAGGTGTTATGGCTTAATTAGCTGATTAGAGTGGGACACTTTGAGCCTAGAATATTGCACCTTTTTACAATATTCTAATTTTCTGAGATTGTGGATTTGGGGTTTTCATGAGCTGTAAGCCATAATCATCACAATTAGGACAAATCACGGCTTGAACTATCTTGCTTTGCATGTAATGAGTCTATCTCATATATTAGTTTCACCTTTTAAGTTGCATTACTGAAATAAATGAACTTTTGCACGATATTCTAATTTTTTGAGTTTCACACACATATATACTATATATATATATATATATAGTGGGCTAATTGGACAATATGCATGTTGTAGACCATAAAAAACATTACTTCTAAGCGTAACACAGTTTCTTTTAGGACTGGCCATTTTTTGAATTTTGTGTAGTATCTCATGGAGTACTAGTTACTTTTTACTGCACTGGGGGGCTGAACTGTTATAGAAAAAACTTTTCTGATTCCGTTTATTTCTGAGACCTCTATGTTTTCATCTTTGAGGTCAGGATCCAATGGTATTATTTGTATGGGTTCATTTGTGCATGCTTGCAATAAACAGGGTCATTCCTACTTGCAGTAACCCATTAGATAAGACTACTTTGGTGTCTATTTTTTAATTCTAATTTTTAAACCCGATCACAGTTTTGTTTATTTAAGTTTGATAGGCTATTTAGCAATAACTTTACTTGCAGCAAAAAGATGGCTAATAGCTGCCTAGTAAAGGGTTTAAACTGAATGTATGTAAAAATACCACAAAGTCATAAAACAGTACTAGTACTAGTTACTTTTTACTGCACTGGGGGGCTGAACTGTTATAGAAAAAACTTTTCTGATTATGTTTATTTCTGAGACCTCTATATTTTCATCTTTGAGGTCAGGATCCAATGGTATTATTTGTATGGGTTCATTTGCGCATGCTTGCAATAAACAGGGTCATTCCTACTTGCAGTAAACCATTAGATAAGACTACTTTGGTGTCTATTTTTTTAATTCTAATTTTTAAACCCCGATCACAGTTTTGTTTATTTAAGTTTGATAGGCTGTTTAGCAATAACTTTACTTGCAGCAAAAAGATGGCTAATAGCTGCCCAGTAAAGGGTTTAAACTGAATTTATGTAAAAATACCACAAAGTCATAAAACAGTGTGTTTTTGAAATGCAAAATACTTCTCATCATTCATTCCAGTAACGTAACTCTTTACCACTGTCTTAATTTTTCAATATACTTGATTTGCTGCTCAGTAGCTGACGTGAACAAGTATTGTAATGCTGCTGAGATTAGGAAATCAGCATAGAAAATGTAAAAATAAAGATTTCATCACAAGTTCGATTTTAGCCAGCACAAAAAACAATCCATACAAATATCTCCACTTAGAGATGATAAACCTGTAGAGCATCTGTATGATAGGACTGTGCATCTCCCTAGGAATACAAGGCTGTATTTTTCTGATTTAAAATGACAGCTATTATTATACAATAAGTCTGTATGCAAACACTGCAGGCAGAATCCTTTGAATGTATGGGAACTCTAGAGAGATGAGTAAAGCACTGGAGACACAATGTTCCCATAGTACAAGGAATGCAAAGAAAAATATATTTCTCTTCTAATGTAGACTTATAATAAGCCTAATGTCTGCCTAATGTGTTATGTTTTCTTATATTTGTGCAGTGATAATGGAGCTAAAACTACAGAGTAGCCCAATTATAGTGGACTTTATTCTGGTAATTTGGCAGAGCATGCTTCAATTTTTACTGTTAAATAACAAACCAGAACTATATTATGCTGTAATAAGCACATATGTTATGGATAGTGTTGGTTCCACTTCCCAACATTTAAACAAATGCCTTGTAGTTTACCTTATTTTGCATTTTTAAACTGTTGCCCAGCATCTTGCCTAGTCCTCCTCAGCCTTTTTTCCTTCTTGTGGGAGAGATTGAAATCAGAGGGAAGTTGCATCACTAAAAACGAAGATAAATAATGGGGCTGGGAGGAACTACATTGATATATGCAGCCCCATGCACTCTCCCATTTGCAAAGAGGGGAATGTTATGTTGCACACAGACAATGTTTAGTCAGGAGTGGCTATGAATGTTAGAGGATAACTGTCTGTTTAGTATATGAACCACTTGGGCCATCTTTAATAAAGATTGGACCCTGGGCAAAATTTTTTTCTTGTGTCCCTCCATGCAGTTTAGCTCTCCACCTACTCTGAGACATACAATAAATAGCAGCTAGACTCACAATCAGTTTATTGCAGCAGATCAGGCAGCGATTGGTTGCCAGACGTTACAGCATATCATCGCTGCTCATTGACGGTTTGCTAAAGGTTACAGCACACATCACGGCTCACTGATTAGATACTTGAGGTCATTTTTGCTTGCTGATTAGTTGCTAGAGGTTACTGCACATCATTACCACTCACCCATTGGTTGCTGGGGGGGGTGATCAGTGGAAGTGGAGGGGATGGGATTAGTGGCAGTGCTGGGGGAAGAAGATGGGATGGGTGGCAGTGTTGGTAGGGGGATGGGATCAGAAGCAGTGCTTGGGGTGGATGGGATCAGTGGCATCAATGACCAGAGCTCTAGAAGCCTGCCTGAAAAACTCCCATAGTCAGCATTTCCTCATCCTGTTGCTAGAACCTTGCTATAGTGCTCCAGTCATTGATGCTTGCCTCCAACATCACAAGAACACACTAGGATTTATGCCACACATGCACAGTGCACCATCCAGTTGCCACAGAACTGAGCTAAACAACATGGCAACAGGGAAGGGAATGTGCAGTATTTGAATCTGAGAGAGTGCACTCTTGCGATGGCAGAGGCGAGCATCAATGGCTTCTGGAGCTTCAAAAACTGGTGCTCACCTCTGTCATTATAAGAGTGCACTCTCTCTGATTCATACACCATTACTACATTCTCTCCAGGTTCTATGGTGCCCAGCTCAATGCTATGACAACAGGGTAATGTTCTAATCCAACAGTTATGTTGCTGTGGAGCTCTAGCCACTGGTGTCCACCAAAAGCTCTTGGAATCAAATGCCGCACAAGTTCTGTGCACCATCTACCTTGTTGCAATGATACTGCGCTCATTATCATGGCAACAGCAAAGAAAGTGCATGCACAGTGTTCAAATCTGAGGGACCGGATATCCTGTGATGGCGGAGGTGAGTAACAATGGCTAGTGCTCCATAGCAATGTCCTAGAAACAAGGCAGGCTGGTGAACTCAGCTATGGGAGATTTATGGACAGGCTTCTGGAGGAGTACGTCATTCAGTATTGTTCACAGGAGCACAGTTTGTTTTTATCTACAGGGGCAGATATTTTTTGTAAAGTGGACTGACCCCTTTAGTAGACAGCGCACCCTGCCCCGTCCAGTCCTGGAGTCTTCAGGGTGAGGGGAGGAGAACTGGCTTGACACAACACCCACAGCCAGTGTACAATGCATACACATAAGGAATACAAATCACTTATGTATATTTAGCTGTCTGCCTGGAGCTTGCTCTTTAGGGACTTACACACAATAACACATAATACAGCAAAGTAGATCCCCCCCCCGACCCATCCGGAGGTGCAGCACTCTCTTCCTCGCTTTTTCCACATACCAGGGACCATCTATCCATGACATCACCACGCCATGTTGCACAGTGTCTCCTAAGGGAGGGCGTGTCCCTGGCGGGAGCGGCCGGTGTAGGCAGTGATGGTGCGGGTGGATGTGGTTAGAAGGGCAGAGGAAAGATGCAGCATGCTGTGGTGTCCACCCATTCCTCCACACTCTGTTCCCTGTGGGACTGGGAATTGTGCTGAGCATGGCTCTACACCCGACATCAACAGCACACCTCCTAATGCCCTGCTGGTAGTTCCGCCACTGGTGCGGGCTCAAGGGGCAGCTGCTTTGGGCCCCACAACAAAGACAGGGCCCTGGGCAGCTGCCCCTTTTGCCCAACGTTAACCACATATATGAATGTCTTTACTTAATAAATAGATGTATTACTAAAGTAGTAGTAAACACCGTTTGATCACTTATGCCTATAGGAAAGCTTAAAATAAAGCTTATCTGCAGATAGAAGAAATATCTCTTAAATGTGCACCATGCTTTCAGAGCCTTGTGCCATGGCCATGGCTCTGTTGCGCATGCATGGGAGTGATATCATAGCGGCTCGGCCACTCAAACGGCTAGAGCCCACCAGCCCAGAAGGAAGGCCAGGTGAAAATAGAAGCCCTGTCAGGGGTAACAGGTAACAGTGCACCAAAGGACAGCTTTGTTTTAAGGTAAATCTCTCATGATGTGCTGCTTTATGATGCATACTAGAACATTAAGCCATTACCTTTTAGGGGCAAAGATTTTTTTTTTATTACCGCCACAAGTCTCATTGCGTGAGTGTAACTTCTCTGATCTTAAAAACAATTCAGTTCAATTCCAAACAATCCATTTTCTAAATTCAGTTGGCAGACAATCAAGCAAAATGATAGATTAAAAGTAAGTGTAAAAAGTCACTAAAACACCTTTTGAAGCAAAATGAATATAACTAGTAGACTATGGCTTAGTAGACTTAATTTGTCTTAGTACCAAATTGCAAATCAAGTCAGAGAGTTTTAAGTATCAGAATAGGAACATTTACTCAGACAATTACCTACCTTCTCACCAACTGCTCCAGGAGAACCAATTGACCCAGGGGGACCTTGTGGACCCTACAGGAAGAATCAAAATCAGATTTACAGGTACAGAACAAACACAGGATTTGTAAACATACAATACTCTGTGTACTTACATCTGCACCATTAGGACCTTGAGGGCCTCTGGGACCAGGGGGGCCAGGTGGACCCTGTTTAAGTGAAAACAGAAACTTAATATGTTGTATACATATTTTATTTTACAAGAGAAATTCACTGTAAATTGACTACTAAATTGTATTTGCTAAACTAGTACCAACCAGGTTTAATGGTATGAGTAAACAAAGCTGGTTGGTAAAGATCAGAGAATCAAGTGCACATGACCAGAAAGTTAAAAGGATGCAATGCTCTGCAGTAGCGTACTTACCATGGGTCCAACATCACCATTTTCTCCCTTTTCACCAGGAGGTCCAGGAAGACCCTGAAATAGGTAAAAAGATAATTTAGGTTTTTATTTGATGCTACCAGGAAGGTTAGAAATGTGTATATTAGCATGTCTTAAGTGCCACGGTTTGTGGAGCAGTCCTAGAGACATCTGAAGGCATGTTTACACAATTCATGCTTTAAGCAGAAGGTTGTTTTACTTTTGTTTTTTTAGTCATCATGAAATTATTCTACAAGTTGATTACAATGCTGCAATAAAATACCTGAAATATATTTTGTATCTCTTTTCTTAATCAGGATACCAAATATGTGTAGGTTATCTACACTTCTGTACAGCAAGAATCAAAAATATATATTTAATTAGACTCTGTATAGGCATCACATAGGGGTTATAATTTCTTACCAGGGGCGGACTGACAACTCATGGGGCCCCTGGGTCCTTGCCCAAACTTAAAAAAGCCTATGAAAAAGGTACCAGGGGCATCTCATGAAACAAAATTACAAGTATCCTCCTGCGCTCAATACAGGCAAGGTCCCTATCTCAACAGCTGCTGTCACTTTACCTTAAACCATTAAGTAGCCAAATATATACTATAAAATAGTGAAGCGCTAAATAAATAAATATATATATATATAATAAGGTGCCAACAGTGAGTGTAAGTGCTATAGTGTTAACAGTTCCTTGTTAAACACTGGAACATTATAACCAATAGTGTATATTAAATAGAAAAAATCAAACTGAATCCATAATATATCAGTGATGATAAATAAATAAACAAAACCAGTGACAAATAATCTTATATCTCCAAAAAAATTCCTTCTTCTCATTCACTATTTAAAGTGAAGAGTGCTCATCAATAATAATAAGGTGAACACGTGTATACAAAAAAACTTTTTTAAGTGCATATATAGAAAATATATATATGTATAAATAATATATCATATATATATATAAATAAATAGAGTCCATGCAAGTGTAACTTGTGATAGAACGGTGGTCTTCACTTCTAGTGCTCAAACACAAATCCTCAAATGGCAGCAGTGCCTGCTCACCTCCCCGCACTGACCCTCAAGGGGCCAAAAGGCTACTGATCTCCTCTATGGCCAATCTTTTTTTCCTCCTCCTCTCGGTAGCTCAGCAGGTGATCACAGGGTCTCCACTTCTCCTCCACTCATATGTCATATAGGACACAAAACAGAGCTGGAGGGGGTGGAACCCTGTGCACAATGGCAGCCTTGTATGGGATGGGGCATCTCATGGGGCCCCCTACTGACCCCTGGCCCTCGGGCAGTGCCCGATTTTCCAAATGGTCAGTCTGCCCCTGTTTATTACATTCATAATTCATTAGATGGTCCACAAAAGATCACCATTACAAAAACCATTACATAAAATAAATGAACTTAACATAAATGTGAGATCTATTCTTAAGCTTTAAACCTAATCCATGCTCTGTTCCTAAATGCGAGTAAGTAAACTGAACTGTGTGGACAAAGATCTAAGCCAGATCCGGCTTGTTTTAGATAACAGCTATCTGTGAATACCAGCCAATTGGCTTCACTGAGACAGCTGCCATTTTTTAATTTGTTTTTATGTTTTTATGCACTCACTCAAATCAAATATACCAAATGCTGTGGCAGAAATCCATGCAGGAAGGGGGCCAATAAGCAAGCAAGCTCTCTGCTCAGCTAAAACTAGCCTTTGTACCCATCACAATCTGGTGTATTCTTCAAGAGGGAGACTCCCTAGGAATATATCCCTCATCAAAACATAAGATTATCGGTAATGATGGTTCTAGAGGATATGTGAGGACATGGTGGGTTTATGTGCAATGTTCCTGTTTTCTTAACAGGTATATTACACATTTCCCTATAAATCAGTTAATGAACTTTCCAAAAAAGATATCAGCAATGCATCACAGTTATCTTCTAGAATCCAATGCTCTAGTACTATAATAAATCTGTCTGGATTTAAAAATCTGCTAAATATACATTATTTCTGTGGCTGGATGATTTGCTTGTTCACATTTGATCCTGGACATGGTTTTAAAAAAGTGAATACCTGGGAAATATAGAAGGCCCTAGTGGATTACTTTTTAAAGATTGTAAATCAGTTTAAGCCTCATGGGTTTCCACTAATAAAGCCATTGGGCTCCAACTGATCAGAATACCATGGAGAATTCTTTATCACATGGCTTCCGAGTAACTGGCTGGTCTGCTCCAGAGTAACTGACTAGTTTTTTTTTAAATTTTTGAATATAAGATTTGCAATTAGCAGCCAATATTGTGGGGAAAGAGTAGGCAAACTACCAATAAAGCAGACTCCCCTCCCATCCCATTTCACTCCCCCTAAAAAATATATATATATAATTATTCTCGGAAATGCTGAAATGTAGACACAATAGGGTGCTCTGAGCATTGCTGGGAGGGACTGACTGTGTTATCCGATAAATCTGTCAGTTATATAGCAGAACAATTAGTTTAGTAATGTTATTGTAGGTTTGCATTTCTATTTGCATATTAGACTAGGGGGTTCCATAGTGCTGTATAAGATATGTGATTGTATGTGCCTTTGGGTGCCTGCTTTACATACCTGCCAAGGTTAATTAGCTTCAATCACTTGAGCTCTGTAAGATTTTATCCCTTTCATGACTAGACCATTTTTTGCTATACCACATTGTGCTAGTTTAATTGGTAATTGCACAGTCATGCAACGTTGTGCCCTAGTAAAATTTCTATCATTTTCTCACACAAATAGAGCTTTCTTTTGGTGGTTTTTAATCACCACTGTTTTTTTGTTTTCTTTTTGCGATGCAAGACTGTCTGAAGCTGGGAGGAACCGACTAACTGCCATCACCATCACCAGTGACATACAGTGATCAGTGATAATATTATACACTGTCATTGTACTAATGACACTGGCTGGGAAGGGGTTAATATCTAAGGCAATCATAGGGTTAAATGTGTGCATAGCTATGTGCTTTGCAGGGATGAGAAACACAGAAATTGTTCCTTCTGTACAGAGCTCTGTGTTGATTGTCGTGATTCATTGGCCAGAGCTTTCTAACAGGCTCCCGCTGTGTATGATCACAGTAGGTTCCAGCCAGGGGGCATGCATGCGCACACCCAAAATCCAGAAGTAGGCAGTGACGTACGGGTACGTTGATTTGCCTACAGTGGCCACCTGTCTGCAGTACTTTAAGTGGTTAATGCAATCATCTGTTTCCTTCAAATTAGGTAAGTCAGAGTAGGTGTTTTATAGTTTAGCAAGTAAAGAGTTGTAATAAGTTTCTGGATGAAGGCTGTAATGTGTGCAGAGTTACAGTCAAGAACTATATTAAAGAGCTTAATGCACTAAATATTGTTAGAAATGGAGGTAGATGGTTTGGGAACAACTGAGGTTTACATAATAGTGGGAACAAGAGATTGTGGTATGTATGACTGCTCACAGACAGCCCAAACAATTTTGCAGTGTCTACCTATCAATCCCCAAGCGGCACTTCCACTAAGAGATATGTATGTCATGTTGGCCGCAGGATGTTGGCGGCTGTAAACGGATGATGAAAACTGTACACAGCAGTTCTAGTACGAGCATAGTTAATAATTTATATCCTGCTGGGCCAGACCGATGACATGTGAAGCTGCTACTGGCAATATGGAAAGGCACATCATTCATTCGATGCTGCAGCCTTTGGGACATTGTTATGTATAGAAGTGTATATCTGCATAATGCGCAAAAGCAGAGTTTATCTTTGACAGTTACACATAAGTGAACATATATAAGAAATAAAGCCTATAGTGATATACTATAAACATACAAAACATATGAGGATGTTACTAAGAAAACATATGTTTTTATAACATCTGAAAGATTTTGAAGATTAAACAGCCGAAGAGTAAAAATGCAATGTAAAACAAGCATGACCTTCAATACACTATATCTGCAGTGAAATTAGAGGCCATCAAGAGTAATTAGCATAATTTCTATTTGAGTGGAAGGACTACAGGGGTTGAACTAGGTATAGTAACATTCAGGGAAATGGAGTCCATGAATGCAATAAAGTAATAGGACATTTATTCATGAAGACACAAATAGCAATGAGAACACTGAGTACCAATGCTGGATGAGGCTTGACGTACACTTCTAATTGCCCACCACAGAGAACCAAAACTGGAGGTCCCTACTCAATGACCATGTGTCCTGTTGGGGAGATTTCCCTTTACTTTCTGTCTTGGAGACATAATAAAAAGGGAGGGAAAAACTCCCAAAAGTGAGGGGACTTCCATCTTAGAGAGTTGTCACTACAACATTTGCCCTCATTGAAAGATTTCCCCTCATTTCTTGCTCTCATGACATCTCTAAAGTTTAGGATACTTTCTTACTTTCAGTCTTGGTGACAATGGTCACCAGGACAATAGAGGTTTAATTCTTCCCAGCAGGGACACTGACAGCAAAGAGCACAGAGTCTAACTCTTGCCTACTCTATTCAAGGCTAAAAAAAAGTTTTGCTTTTCCATACATATTATTAGTTTTTATGAGGCAATGTGTACATTTTCCATTCTGGCACATTTTTAAAGCTGAACTATGGGCACAACTTTTATCTAAATATATTCTTCATTAGTCCCAAAGGATATAAATCTTCTTTGTGTGTGCCAAATTCCTAGATATTATCTTGTAAAACTGTCAGAGAGTGGAGCAGTGGGTGGAACCCAGCAGGTCCACCCACTATATGCTGCCTACAGAAGGGGTGGATACAAGACCAGCCACCCTATACAAAGAGAGAACAGCAGTGACCGGTCTGTTTTGCAAGAAAATTCTGCACAGAGGCAAAGTGCTGGAGGTTATTCATGTCCAAATACTAGAAGAATAGAAGAAAGAGTACATATGCCTCTTGCATATTAGACCAGATTTAAGCTTTAAATGAAGTCATAGAAACAGAGAGATGGCAGAAAAATACATGGTCCATCACGCCTGCCCCATATTTTTGTTTTCATCCAAAGTATGTTTGAATCCAGTATGCATTTGAATATGCATTATGTACCAGTACCATACAGAATGTGAATTTATATCAGTTTTCTGCCTATGCAGAGCTATGAGTTGTTCTATATGCACAGACTGCATTGTTTGTATTTCACATGGCACTGCACAAATGTATTCTTTGTTTCCTACAGATCATTTTTAGAGAGTGAACGTCGATGCACAACTTACTGCCGGAGTGATAAATAAACAGATGATAGGTGAGGTGTTTTCTGCATGCTGCCTCTCTGCGGTACTGGTAACATCAGTAACTCTGCTTGGACCACAGCGGCACATGAATAATCCCTGCCAGCTGGCACAGCACTGATTACTGAGCTGATGGCCCATTCATTCAGTCTGCCAGGAGTGCTGACTGAGGCTCGGCCAGACTGATATCTACAGATCTAAGCTCTGCCATCAACTTATGCACACATTTTATCTGCTTAAGGGTTGAGGCACTTGTGTTTCTATAACATTTTTATCAGCTACCAGAGCTGTCAACATATATTCATTACAAATGGATATACAGTATACATAAGCCTACTCTCAACAATGTTTACCATGACCGAATGTTATATTATGAAGATTCCCATAATTTACTGTATGGCTACAAAGGGATCACATTTGGAATAGATTGTACATTTCATATCACTGTACTGAAATGGTAAATAAAGAAGACAGAACAAAATAACTGCAATTACATAAATTACCTATTGTTATAAACTGTCTTACACAGTCATTCAGCTGCTACAATATTAATATTCTGGAAGTGATTTTTTTCTGTACCTGCCTCAAAGCCTATTTACTTATGACTGTTGTCTTCTTAGTTTTTTTTTTATTGTGCCTAAATCTTTTCAAAGGCATACACTTGAATGGTTGTACACAAAATGTTGACAGTGCATAATATTTATAACAGTAGGCACACATTTCTAATCTAATACCTGTGGAAAAGTCTTCTTTTATCAAGGCCAATCATTTACAGAAATCATTTATTAAAAAAAGACTTTCCGCAATGTACAATTAAGGACATTTTTCACAGCAATGAATTGGCTGTACACCTTTTTTTTAAGGTCTGGAAAACAACTAGGGCTGTTTTACATAAGTGTAAGTCAAGTGCCATATCCTTTGGTTTTGTTTTGACTCAAATTTGATTTGCTTTAAACTACTTTTAATGTAAGACTAAACCCAAGAACAAAAATGCTAAATTTTTTGCAGCTCAGATTCCTTAGACATAACAGCTGCATTTGTTTCAAGCTAAGAACAGTTCAGCAGAAACAAAAAAAAATGTTGATCCTGCCAAAATGCAGTGTACTTGTCACTTCCTGTGAGCTGCACCAAAGAATTTCTTCCTTAGGTATCTTATGTAAACTACCAATTGCCCTGCCCTCCAGGTAATGGAGATGAGTTCATATGAGGAGAGCAGCCTGGAGTGACAGGCACGGCTCCTTCTATAGTAGAGAAGTGACATAGTCACACAGAGAGGAAGTGTATTATTTGCAGGGTTGCGAGGTGAAAATAAGAAGCTTGAAAAAGAAAACGTACTGAGCCACCACACCAAGCACTAGTAATAAGTAATGAATTACATTTTTGGTTTTGGGTTTAGATACACTACCTTACTTTTGAGGTGCCTGTGGTTTGCTTTTATTTTGTGTTTATATGTTGCTTCTAAGATGCCTTTTGCTTTCATGTCTTCTATGAAGGGAAAGCGATTAGGGAACAGACAAATACCTGTGTATATGAGCCCATAATATCTAAATTATTATTATACAGGACTTGTATAGCTCCAACAGTTTGTGCAGTGCTTTACAATATAAAGGGAGACAGTACAGCTACAATACAATCAAAACAAGAGGATCAAGAGAGCCCTGCTCATAAGAGCTTAAAGTCTAATAGATATCTAAATAATTAAACTGGTCAAAAACATGTGTGACCCAGCTTAAGGTAAATAAATATTGATATATAAAATTTCAGCATGCTACCTTACTTGAGCTAAATATTAAGGCATTCCTGCAATAAAATATGCTTTTATAGGTAGAATCATAATATAATTCCATGAAACCAGCCTTCACTTACTTGGAGACCAATTGGACCAGGTGGACCTGGGAAACCACGAGCTCCTTCATCTCCCTTCTGCCCAAACATTCCCTGCTGACCTCTTGGTCCCGGTTCTCCATCTGATCCCTGCAGGCAATGAGTGAAAGAGGCTTTAAAATATAAAAATAGATGGTAAAATTGTCTAGTAAGCAAACACTGCTCCAAGAACCTTTGCGTTGAATTGAACATGGATGAAAAGAAACTGCAAATATTACTACATTAGGTTAGCTCACACAATCTACAGTGTATTAACCTTCTATGTTCAATTGATTTAAATGAAGTCAGTACTGTAAAATGTACCACAGGAAGAATAATTCTGACATTTCTTGTTTGCTACAGACCTGAATAGGGGTTATATTGCCACCCCTGTGAAGAGTCCTTTGGCAGGTCACTTTTCAGAGGGCATTCAGGCAGTGAAGATGTAATATGTCCCATCCTCACAGCCTACTTTCACCCTCAGATTTCCAACCTATTGAGCATTACACGCAGTTCCGTTGTGGTTGCAATGAGGCCCCATTCCTTTTTTCCCCTTTTTTATAAATGATCACATACCCTCTAAGCCACATGTGTCAAACACAAGGCCCGCAAGCCATTTCATGTGGCCCTCACACCTTTCCTGCAGTTGCAGTACCCCCTCGTCTCCACTCCCCCATCTCATCATTTGGCAGCAGAGGGAAGGACAGAACTCCTCCAACAAATCCTCTGTCTCTCTGTGCAGCCTCAGAACCCCTTCATCTACGCCTTCCCTGGTCTCAGCATTCAGCAGACTCTAGCAACTGACTTCAGCCCTCCTCTGGTCCTTCTCCTTCAGACCCTGCCTGTTTTGCTTCCCAGCTCCACCTCCAGCTTCTTTCCGGCAGCATCACAAGGTAGGGGGGTACACTGTGATGTAAGGGAGGGTGGGAAACTCTTGACTTCTGATGTGGGGGGGGGGGGTTGCTCTGGACATCTAGTCTTACAGATATAACCAGCCCTTTGAGGGCAACCATATGGCTGATGAGGCTCATGATAAAATTGAGTTTGACACCCCTGTTCTAAGAAGCTAATTATGCAGATGAAAACAGAGATCTGTGGGAGGAGAAACAGCAGCACACTAAACTTCCCAGTGAAAGGCAGTTCGGGGGGGGCACATGTCAGGACAAGACTGATCATTAGAGGAGAGCAGGCTGTGTTCCCAGAACAGCTAGAGAACTGACCATGGAGCTTTCTCCTTCTTAGTCTGCTCAGTTTTTAGTAGGAAAATAAAGGGACTGACAGGAACCAGGGATTGTACACAAAGGAAGCAATACAAAGAGAACAGGATACTTTTTCACATAAGTACATGATACAGCAGGCACATATCAGGAATATGACATGTTGGGTTTACATATTCTTTAAAGGTGGATTAGGACGCAACTAGTATAAGTATCTGAATGTATTACTGTGCCAATCCACTCTGATCCTCTGCAAAGATGCTGTGAGACTAGGAGAGACAATCAGCAATAGGAGTTAGTGCTCCAATGTATATATGCTGATAATGACTATACTGACAGGAGAACCAAAAGTTAGCAGAGGGATGACCTTATCATTGTGTGGTTGCACCTTCACTGAGCAAATAATTAGGAGTGGACTGTGTTCATGAACAAGTTGTACTGCTATAGTAGCAGAGTTAGAAGACCTGACTATGCTGTCTGGCAGGGCTGTCCAGGTAACAAAGCTAGCTGTAAAGAATTATACATCCTTTGGCACATAAAGAAGTTCCCATAAATGATTTTCAAGTGTGTGCTTTGCAGTTTGTCTGTTTTTGAGCTTTAATGTCTGAAGTAACTAGTAGAGTATTATCAAGGCAAAAGTACAAGATATGATTAACATCTAAATGTTTAAATCTTTTTTTAATACTCTGGTGAATACGATATGATACACAAATTATTTACAATACAACATGTGTGTTTAAAAAAAAAATAACTTACAGCTGGGCCAGGAGCTCCGACTGGACCTTGTAAACCAGATGGTCCTGGTGGACCCTATAAACACAGGAACAAATATGTTATTATAATTCAGTCACTACATATTCAAACAGTCAATTCCATAATAGCTTTATTACTCAGAAAGCTCTAATTATTAATTAGAAATGTTAATAATTTTCATATTATTCATATTCACATATACAGTAGTTACAAGCATTATGGATTTGTTAAGATTTGAAAATATCAGCTTTTTTTTTTTTGCTTACAGTGATGGCATTCAGATCTAAATTTATCTTGTTTGGTGTACAAATCTGCACACATCAAAGACCACGTGATGGAAATGCCTCTAATAGTAAAGGTAATTGCAGCACAGTAGTGTTTTGTGAATGGATATACCATAAATAATTTGCTTCAATATAGACTATAATAATGTCCTTGTGTGCCACAAAATACCTGTGACTTCACTCACAATGCATAGCCATAAACGGAACGTTGGTGCAGTTTTTTTAAGTGCTGAGACACACTAAAAGCACTACATTTGGCCATACACATATAGATTTTTTTTTTCAGCCTACACAGTGTGGATAGACAAATCTCTCACTGTATGTTGACAGCCAGCCTCACCAACTGTCAAAATGCCCAAATGGTGCTTGGCTTGATTTATATGTAGGTGCTATCCAGCCAACCATTTTCCACCTGGCTCCTTTGCTTTTTCAGCTAAGGGATGTCTGGTAGAAAGTGACCAACAAGGCCAGTCATTGAGCAAATTTCAACCAGTTCATCGGCACCAAGCTAAAATTCACTGTACGCATAGCCAGCTTTAAGAATCATGTAGAAGATGTATCTTTTCCCACTCATTTTGGCAATGTGATTTGTAAAGAAAAAAGGCATAGTAATGTGTTTAACTGTCCTCAAAAATAAAATGTATCCCCTAGTGACCACCAGTGTGATAGAGTGACTTATTTTTCTTACATTATGCTTTGTAAATAAAGTGTATTTAGAGCAAGTAGTGTAATATTTGCACTGATCACTATTGGTAGATTTTTAAAAAGCTGTAAAATTAGAAGCTACTCTCTTGAACATAAAGGAGCATCTTGAAAGGGAACCTATCAATGCTTTTTAAGATTATTTTTTCATTCTTTAAAAGAAATCTGCTTGATGCAAATAATGTTATCGATAAGTATTTTTGATTTACCACTTGCCCTCCTGAGGATTTACCCCCCTTCCTGACCAAGCCATTTTTTGCTGCATTATTTTATCTGACAATTGTGCGGTCATGCAATGGTACACCCAAATAAAATGTATGTCCTTTTTTTCCCCACAAATTTAGCTTTCTGTCGGTGGTATTTGATCGCCTGTGCAATTTTTATTTTTTGCGCTATAAAAAAAAGAGAAAAAAAACTATATTTTTGACTTTTTGCTATTAAACATGTCAAGTAAAAAAATAAAAAAAATCAAATTTCGTCATAAATGTAGGCCAAAAGGTATTCTGCTACATGTCTTTGCTAAAAAAAAATCCCAATATGTGTAAATTAATTGGTTTACGTGAAAGTTATAGCATTTACAAATGGCGGTATAGATACTGGAATTTTTTTTTTTTTTTAGTTTTTACTAGTAATGGTGGCGATCAGCGACTGCGGGACTGCGGCAGTCATTCTGACACTGAGGGGAACTGACTTAGCGTCCCTGACATCCCCAGTGACACCAATACAGTAATCAGTGCTAAAAAAAAAAGCACTGACACTGTACTAATGGCACTGAGCAGGAAGGGGTTAACATGAAAGGTGATCAAAGGGTTAATTGTATGTTGGGAGTGTTTTACATAGGGGGACATGTCAGTGTGCTTCACTGTAAGCACACTGCTTTGGATGGCTGTGTTGTTAACAGCCATCCAAACCAGTGTACCCCAGCTGACAGGGAGGAGAACTGTTAGTAAACAAAACAGTCCTCCCCATCGGAGATCCTCAGTAATCACTGGATGGCGCCGATTAACCCCTTCACGCCGGATAGTCCCGGCGTGAAGAGGAGTTCCTGCGCCGGAAGGTGGGCGGGACGGGGCATGGCTTAGTGTCATGTGGCCGCCGTGACGTCATGTCACAGCTGGTCACATGATCAGGAAAGGTCCCGATCGAAAGAGCGGACCGGGACCTTTCCATGAGTACCTCACATGTGTGCAGGGAGCGCGCAGGGCGCACGCTCTCAGCACATTTGTTTTTTGCTACATGAACGCAAATGTGCGGCCACTCTGCGTCTAGGCCCAGACGCCGGGAGGCCACACATTTGCATGCGGCCGGCGTGAAGGGGTTAATCACCGGCCTGGACCCGGTGATTGACAGCTGCGGGCGCAAATGGTGGAGTAGGTAGGGCTTGCCCCTACCCAGAAATGCAAAATCACGTATATATATATGTGATTTTGCACATCTGTGCTGCCCTGTAGCAGTATTTCTGCTATAGGGCATTCAGGAAGCGGTTACCAAATCAGCAACGTTTGTATATACCAATGTTAAGCTATATGTGTTCATTGTATACATAGGTTTTTCTTTATTTGCAGAGCAACAAACTGGATATGCTTTACTGTTCCCTCTCACAATACAAGTCTATGTATCGACCATCCCTTTGAAAAGAATGCATTTTTTTATGTGGCTGATAATTATAGAAACAGTTAAACAAGAGGCTAAATATAGAACCCCCACTGGTGGTTAATCCACGAATATCTATATTTAATCTGTCTCTATAACATATAGAAGAGAAAGAATTTAAAGATGTGAAAGTCACACCAAAAATCACTTTGAGGTAAATAGTCTAATGAAAACTTGAAATGTGTGCTCACTATATTGATCTTTTCCATTAAAAGCCTACACTAGAAATTGAAATTTTAAACAACGTTCATCACCAAAAGCAAGAATCTCTGCATCACTAATCTTTCCCCCAGGCTTGTCTTTGGCAGGTTTAGAAATGTAGATGTAACCATATGGGCAGATTTGATAATACAGTAAACTCTAATTGGTTATATTATGTTGATTTTCATTTGTATTTCTTTTTTAGGCTTTCATTGTTTTTGGAAAATGATAAGTACTACTACTTTCGAAAGAGTAGTTTTATGTGGCAATATACATGTGCAAGCATTAAAAAAAATCATTAATAGTACGACTTCTAGAATAATATGGAATTGAGCCAGTGTACATAGCTTATAAAGAAAAATGCAGGTAATTGTAAATGTTAGTATTTTTGTTTTTAATTAAGACATACCTTCAGATAGACCATTTTTACACACTCACCTGTTCTCCTTTGTCTCCTTTTCCTCCTTTCTGGCCAGGCTCTCCTATTTCACCCTGAAAACAGAAAACGTGGTCGTTTTTAGGGTATTTCCCAGAAGTATATGTGTGTTTATGTCATTGTACTGGGACAAAGCTGGCATTGTGTTTATTGATTCCTCTGCATATTCTGACAGCCTAATCTCTGCATTGATTAGCGTGGAACTCCCTGGGATTTGCAGCTACAACTAACGTAGGTTTAAATAGATGATCAGTAGCTCAAAGACAGGTAACAATAGGAAGGGTCAGCAAGCATTTCTAATAAGACCTCAGAAGCTGATATTAGTGACTTTAATGCTGGTGTATAAATGATGGGTACAGGAGCAATTTTGTTCCTATAATGAAAGTGATAAAAGTAAATATTACAATTTTACTTGATGGAATATTAGAGTTACACAGACTGCATTGCCAAGCCATGGCAGTACAATTGATGACTTCATAAGCTTGGAAGTGTTGCTCTTCCTTCATAGTACCATAATGGACCTGTTAGTATCAACCATATCTGATTCTCATACAGTTGTGACACTCTGTTGTACTAATGTTTATTTGACAACAATGGGCCTCTATAATAAGCTCTGAACAGAATTCCTTGTATAGAAATCTCCAAACTTTAAAGTAATTTTACCTTGTCACCATCTTCACCAGGTGGTCCTTGAGGGCCAGCAGGTCCTGGGAGACCCACAGGTCCTTGTACTCCATCTCGGCCAGCGGGTCCCTGGGGTCCTTTTTCTCCCTTAAATTAGTTTAAGAGAAAGCACAGAATTATTACATAATCCAAAATTAAAAAATAATTTAAAATTAAAATGAATCTCCAGACACTAAGTTAAGTCAGTGGGAAAACTTAATCCAGTAAGCACTGCAGCTTTTCCCAAGTCAGCCAACTTTCACAGGTCAATCACCTCCCCCTAGTTCGCATATGTGCTTCTGGGTAGGTTTGTGGTCTCTGGTCACAAGATACTGTGTTGCCTACTCAGGTGCTCCATCTAATGGGAATAGCTCTAGTAGTATCTGTGGAATATGGAGCATAAACCAGTGTACAATGGCCTACATTCCTGCAATTTTATTGCAGGAAATTCATAAAAGGAAGGTAAAAGAAGCTATAAGAATCAAGGCAGTACAGTAAGACAGTAAGACAACCAAATGGAAAAGAAAAGTGTTGGAATAAAAATTAGAGCTAATCGGCAGGTAAGTTGTTTCCCACAAGTGAGTTTAAAGTGTACCGTATCTGATCTAAGACATTTCTATGATAACAACAACATTTAAGTGTAGGCATTTTGTCATACCTGCACATATTAATCCTTAAATCAATCTCCAGTGTTTCTGTGGAACCCACTTGGATCCAAGGCTCAGACTGTACATGGAGTCTTAAATTTTGTCTAAATTGCAATTAAGCCCCACCTGCTCATAGTGCCATGCCCTGCTACTGTTTTTCAGCTTTTAAGTGGCAAAACTTCAGGGGGCATTAAAGTCTATAGCATTTGACAGTTCAATAACAGGAGGCAAGGCTTGTTACCAAGAAGAGCAGTGGCTTAATTTCTTGGGCAGAAGTTGAAGCCCCATGTAAAGCCCAGGCTTAGGCTCTAAGGGTGCTCTGCTAAGATATAGAAAACAATTTGGAGACTTTTTAAACAGATATTTCAGGCACCACAAGGTGTGGCACATCAGCACCGTCATTACCTTAGAAATACATTGCAACAATTTAACTGTATTGCCTGATCCTGTTTTGAGAAAGATGATGTAATCTTACCCTGTTTTGGCTCAAAATGATGGGTAACTAATAAAGCCTCCTTTATCATCACCTATGCAGACTTACTTTTGTAATACAAAAATGAACAACAATACCTTCCCATTCAATTGAAAGAGTTAAAAAAAAATCAATAAAAATGAATCTTCTATTGTAGATTGTAATTTTTTGTTCAAATTATGCACAGACGTCGTGAAAAGGCAGGAAGATAACTACATAAACAGAAAATAATAATAAACAGACTACCTCCAGGTTCCCACCATTGCAAGACACATTTGAATTTCTCAGCAGGTATAGAAAGTTATAGCATTTAAAGAACAGGTTTTTGTTTCATTGAACTTGCACTAACCTGCCCCCCAACTCCCCTTAGCTAAATTGCACTTTTCTCCCCCATCCCAGCTGCATACTTACCTCTTTAGTAAATATTTAAACTTCAAAATTTTAGGTATGTGGCAGACAGAGATAGAATTTTGCATTCAAAGAAAAACTTCACTATTGCTTAAAATATATTGAATTACAATATACTGTAAACCATTTACATTTTTTTAATTACCTTTCCATTTTAATGTGGGTCTGCTTTTCTTTAAAATTGCTAAAATACTCCCTCCCCAAGACCTGCTAAGCTAAACTACAACTACTCTCTACCTACCTCAGCTGCTTAATTACCTCAGTAGCGCTGTTTGAACCTCCTCTGCTGTTAAAAGCCTACATTTTTTTCAGCACTAGCTGTGCTTGCACACTGGCTTCTTATCAACTTTATAGGATCCATATACCAAGGAACTTCAGTCTCAATTTATGGCCCCATTCAAGTCAATGGGGAGAATTTTATCAGCAGAAAATTAAACAGCAGACAGAGCCACAGCAGCATTACTGTAAATAAACTGATGAGGTGGGCAGAGGCTTGTGCAGTTTAGCTCATTGTGTCAATGGGAGGGTAGGATAGACATATTTTTAGGGATAAGCAGACCAGCACTTTAGAGTGGATGTAAACATCAGACATGAAATATGAACAAAGCATATCCCTCTATAGTGTGCACTTGTCTCAATTAAGAGCACTAAGTGTTATTTCTGTCTGCTGGTTCATTCCTCTGCTATCAGCATGAGTCATTGACAAGTTATTCTGACACCAATAGAAAAAGGGTGACAGGGGAGGGAGCTCCAGTTGATTGACAGCTTCAGCTCTGTTCCTGTGTGCTGTGTAGAGGGGGTGGGGGAGGGGTGGCCCTTCCCTCCAATCAGCTTTCAGATTTCTCCTCACTGAAGCCTGCAGAGAGTAATTTCAGCTCTCCGCCCCCTTTTTTTTCTGAACTCTCATACAAGCTTTATAAATTCTGCACTTTATAACGGATGTAGAAAAGAGAAGACCATAGGTGCAATCAGGGGCGAACTGACAAGCCATGGGGCCACCGAGCAATATGGGATCATGGGGCCCCTGTGTCCTTGCCCAAACTCAAAAAAGCCTATGAAAAAGGTACCAGGGGCATCTCATGGGGCCCCCTACTGACCCTGGGCCCTCGGGCAGTGCCCAAGTTTCCAAATGGTCAGTCCGCCCCTGGGTGCAATTTATATAGGAAGATTTATTTTATCTCTGCGTACCACCTTAGCCCAGTCACTTTACTGGGTATATGTAAGGGTTTGCAGCCTCTTTAAATAGAGCATAAAGATACAAATGGTTTCTATTATAACTGAGTATATATTTTAGTGGAGTTTTTTAATACAGAATTCCCATCTCTGTCTGGAATATATCTTTATGTTTGTGGTTTAAATATTTAAAAATAGTTGATAACATATTGTGAGACCTAGCAAAATTAAACAATTTCATGAACAATGTGTGAGGGTTTCTAACAAATCACTATACAAAAGAAGATCCACTCCTCAATGGTGCATTATGCAAACAGTTACTGTTCTCAAAACACACCTAAATGATTGATCCATGAACAGTTTCAATACAAAACATACCATGAAGTAAAAAAACTACAATAGACTATTTATTATTGCTAAAATAGCCAACATCAGTCAGCCTAGCAGCTTGATACTGTTAAGCTTGGTTAGCAGTTAATAATGTTGAATGGTATACTAAACCGATAAATATGCTGCCAGACTGATGTTTTTATTTTCTCTGAATATATAAAATTGGTATCATTGTTTTCCTCTCAGCCTGGCACATTAGTAAGAAGAAAGAAACATTTGTCATTGGGATAAATAAAAAGAAGAGTATTGCATCTCTCATTTTCATAAAAGAAAATTGCTATTTCTCACATAATCAATACTCAGCACTGCAAAGAAATGCCAAAGGTGACTCACAGTGTCAATGCAATACTAGACACCAGTTTACAGATTCTGACAGTGAAAGAGAACACTTTCAATGACCATCACCATCTTTCCACACAGCTGACAATGTAATACTTATCCATCTCTGCCAGGGGATCAATGTTATACTTTCAAACCTTCCAAAGATACAATTCCTAAGCCTGCCTATTCTCATACCAGTTCCAACAGCCAGTGACAACAGCAGTACCAGCTGGGATATTTTGTGTAATAATATCTGTTCTGGCCTACTACCTACTTAGCTACCTCCAAAGCTAGCCCTTCATTCAGAGCCCTTTACTACTTACTACATAGCATACCATGGGGTTTCCCCATACTTCCCTTTTTTATGGAGATTGGTCCTCTAGCACACTCTGTACCCCAGCCAAGGTAACAGCTATGTCACAACAAAGACTTTTGAGGGCCCTCTGTACATAAAAACTAAAGGAATTACTTAGTTGTTCCTTTTTCCACATAGCAGGTAGATATCAGATATCTCCCCTGCAGTTTTAGTACAGCTATGCGCACTGAGTGGTCCCACAGCTTCAGATTGACTGCAAGAAAAGGTTTTTCTAATGCCCAGTTATCACACAGAATAAATATAAGAGAGTGATGTGCATAAGATGTCAAAAAGCTAAGGTTTGTTAAAGCTGCCATAATGGAATTGTACCTAAAAGCCCTCAATGTCAGTGTTATAAGACTATCTTAGTAGCAACAATTTAAGGATAAAATTGTTTTAGCACCTTGGCAACTATGCAGGTATTTTGCATATCTTATTTTAAAAAGTGTTGCCCATTCTGGTAACATGACATTATTATAGTACTATAGTGACATTAGGACAGTATGGTGTCTTTATGACTAGTTGCTGTAGCTTTGCTAATTTGGAGCTTCTTTACACCTAGACAACAAAGCCCTGAGTTCACTACAGACTAATATAGGAGGAATACATTCCTTCTAAAACTGTCCCTACTTACTCAGAGGGTTACCATCTCTTGATTCGTGGAAAGCCTAAGGGGAAGAAGGGGTGTTCCTTATTAAAAAATAAGTTAGGCTCAATAGGCATAGCTTTATCACTGCAGATTAGTCATAATGGGCAAAGTAGAACAGAAAATGTGAAACACAAAAGCTTTATGGTGCTGTCTTAATAAATCAGCCTAATTTTACCTTTTGATTACAGGTATATACTGTATATACATGCCATTTATTGACATACACGAACATACAGTACTTTTGTCTAAAAGTTAACTTTTAGAACAAAATACCTGCAGCTTTACCAGAAAACTGAATGCTACCATATTTTTATTTAAAAAAATTCACACAACTAATTAGCACATCTTTGAAATATAAAATCTTTTAATGTAACTCATTTCACGCCATCTAATTTGTTATGCAGCCAAATAAGCTGCATTCCTTTTTGGAAATGAGAAGAAATGTGCTTGAGTTTAAGAAAAAAAACACTGTAGAATGCTTTTAGAATTACATATAAACCAGCCATGGGAAGTAATTATTTGTCAACAGAAATACATTTAAAAGGAAAAGAAAATCTGTGATGACTTCCTAAATGCAATGATTATGACCAAAAAGGTAGACATGGGCAGGCTGTAGCAAGGCACAGGACGCCCTTTGTCCTAGAACAAGTGAGCCAACCACTGAATAGTATGGCTTTGATAGTCACAAGAGACCCACTGAGCGAGTGAGATGAAGCTCTAGATAGAACTAGGTGGAAGGTTGTGGTTGCATCACAATAGAGTCAGAAAGTATTAGACTCCAAAAATGGTCTGTGCCTAAACCAAAAAGCAGACTCAATGCTCATAGTTTTGAAAACTGGACAGTTGTCTACGTTATTAACACACATGTTTTTAGACACTACAGGCTATCAGGCTACTACCTGGTCAGTGTACAATTCTGCTGAGAAGAATAAACTTCATAGATGCAAGTCTATTACATGCTCCTATATATAGAGACATACCCTAGCTTCTGCCTCTTTATGTGCTGTGACTTTCCTGACTGGCCTGCTTCCTTGCCCTCATGGAAGTGCTTTGGTTTTCACAAGAGGGGCACATTGTTTGGTCCTGCCACCACTGATTGATAAGAACTCCAATTACACTCTTATGTCACACATCTGATAGGAATTTAGGAATTCCACAAAGTGTCTTGCACTTTGTGGAACCTGTACAATAAGCACAAGCTGTACAGACAATACATCTTACTCTGGCAACATTACTAACACATGCATTGGCACACTCATAAAACAATGTTTGAATCTGCAGTAATGTGCTTTACATTTAGCATTTACCAAATTGCAATGTTTCTTACCAGTGTACTGAACAGTATATATTGTTGTTTTCATGGAATATTGATGTTTCTGTTTTTTGAGGCTGTGCTGCATATGATTTATTTTATTGTAACTACTATTTGTGCTCCCACATTGCTATTTGGCTCTGTACTGAGCAATTCTGCTATCCTTCCCCATTGTTGTCATAGCTCTGTGCCAATATGCAGCATGAGCATCTCAGCTGTCACAGACATTACATTTAAACCATTAATGTATGCAATAAGTTTCCCCACTCCTATATCCTCATTCAAAGGAAGTGGGTATGGCTTATAAGCTCTCTGGAGGTACAATCACTAGAATAAATTCTGTGACACTCTTTTTGAATAACAATTCTGTGTATTTTCTGCTTACAGGGTTCTTAAGATATTTCCAGACTTATTTGGATTCTATAACTGAATAAGTGAAAAACTCCAGAAGCTAAAAACACAATAAACAAGGTCATCAGGAGCTGGGACTAGCACGAAGGACAACTGTATGTGAAAGCAATTGGCTTTTCAGTTTACGGACATGCAGTACAACTCTTAATCATCCGGGAATATTACTTTAGCTTTTGCACAGGTTTACAAAGTACAAATGTTGTCTTAGAATAAAATATGTGTCTAGCTGGAAATTTAACTCTTCATCTAAACTTGCTCAGCATATGCCTCAAAGAGTATGTATCAGCTTTTGTATTGAAGTGAAATCTGTCAAGGTTTATGGGTGATACAAAAAAGACTAATTTACAGAACTAAAATAAATACAGTTGTAAAAAAAAACAAATTAACTATTGCATTACTTCATACGTTTACAAAATGGTTACATTCTTTGTAAGGTTTTCATTTTTTTGGTCTCCACTAGGGTGATTTCCCCCTACTTCCTGTCAGCGTTTCACAGGGAAATCTATTCAACGGAGACACAGAATTGCAACAAAAATATTTTTTGTTGAAACATGGGGAAGGATTTGAGACTGCCCAAGAGATACACATTAAAATGATGCTGTGTTTTGTCTATAAGTAAAAATAACAGATTTACCTAATGTCAAGCCACTAACTGTGCACCATCCGTAGCTGCTGTTGAGTAGAGGCGAAAGCAGGGTCCTTTGCTCTTTAGCTACAACCAGAATTACTTACAACTTCTCCAGGGCTTATATGTTTACTTTGCTGGAGTAAAGAATGCCTAGGATAAGTTATAAGTCATTCTGGTTGGAGTTGAAGAGCAAAGGAACCTCCTCCCATCTCCGCTTGAACAATTAGGGGCTTGACATTAGATGAATCTGTTATTTTCCTTTATTGACAAATTGGGATAGCAAAGAAATTACAGTAAATAGTAGAGAGATGCTGACCTGTTGGCACAGGTCATTGATGGGCCAATATTAATGTACAGGGAAAGGGAAGTATTAGAGCTTTGGATTATTATAATGGCCCATCATTTCTGCAGACTGGGAGTGCAGAGGGAGGGAGCTGAAAGCCATTGCAGGTAAGCGCTGACAAACCTACAAGCCTACAATTTATACCAAGCTAGCATTACTTTTGAAAACATTATGAGAGTTTGGGTTATCATATACAGGAATAGAATGAGTATCACATATTTAACACACGTCTGTTTCAACAAATGTGTTAGGTGCAGTTTGGTATTACATGCTGACTTTTCAGTATACTGAAATACTCACAGGAGCTCCCTTCTCTCCTGCTGGTCCTGGAGGGCCCTGGGGACCAGGCCTTCCTGGTAGACCAATTGGTCCAGCAGCACCTGCAGCTCCTCTTTCTCCAGCAGAACCCTATAAAATAAAATCAAGACCATCAATTATGTAATTGTTTCATGAGTGTGCACTGTAAGTTGGGTTTCTGCATTGTCATTTGGTAATTATTTGCAAGGCTAATCAGTATCTTAACCACTTCAATACCGTGCAATTTTACCCTCTTTCTGCCCATGCCAATTTTCAGGTTTCAGCGCTCTCACACTTTGAATGAGCGGTTATGCAACACTGTACCCAAACTACATTTTTATAATTTTGTTTACACAACTAGAGCCTTCTTTTGGTGGTATTTAATCACCACTGGGGTTTTTATTTTTTTGCTAAATTAACAAAAAAAGACCCAAATATTTATTTCTTTGCTATAAGCAAGCATTTAAATATTTAAAAAAAAAACATTTAAAATTTAAATCGATTCATTCAGGTTTTTTTTTTTTGTTGTGATTAGCTGTGATTGGCCACAGCTAATCACATGACACAGATGGGCTGTGATTGGCCTAGCCTGTGTATGTGATCACTGTCACCATTCACAGCTAGACACACTTGTATACAATGGATGGCATGAAAGGAAGCCATCCATTGTTTACAAGTATCATGTGACCTGCTGTGATTGGTCACAGCAGGTCACATGGTACTGGCAACAGGTCCGGTACACAGATCTGTCTTCAGCTGTATCCGACGTACACAGACCGGTGACAGATCTTGTCACAGCGGGACTGTGCAAGGTGTGATTCGGGAAGGACATCATATGACACCCTCCCTCATCGACGAGAGTCCAGCCTGGCCATCATTTTCCTATAGGTCGGGTGGGAATTGGTTAAAGTATAACCAAAGGTAAAACCTTTTTATGTATAGGGGGGGGATCAGTTTGATATTTCTGTCTATGCCTTTGTTTATTGAGATTCATCCTGTTTGTCCTGTTTACATTCATCACAGAGAGTGAAAGTGAAAGAGAAACCTAAATTTTGGGTTGTTACCACAACAGAAATAGAGGGGACGCCAGTTCTGGCTGGTATTAACTAGGGATTTTCTCACTTAGGAGGCATTTTTTCTCAATTACTGTTTTGGCTATGGGACAGGAAGTGAAGAGAAACCTCTCCAATGGGATACAGATGGATGAAAAAAACTGTTAGGGGTTATATCCTTCCTTTACTCTATCCAAGAAGAAGATGTTTTTGTCTTTAAAGTGATTGTAAAGGTATATATGTATTCATTATCTATCTATCTATCTATATCTATCTATCTATCTATCTATCTATCTATCTATCTATCTATCTATCTATCTATCGTATCTATCTAATACATTATACATACCTGCTATGTGACCCTCTTCTAGGGTCCTCTGTCGGTGCTCTCTATTCCTCCTCTTCTTTGTGTGCCCCCATAAGAAGCCATTCTCCTATGGTGGCGAACCTGCAGGCTCACTCCCAAGTGGGGCTGTGTGTGTCTTGTGGCACACACAGCATGGCTCAGCCCCACCCCTGCTCTTTCCTTACAGAATTTGATTTGACCATTGGCTCCTGCTCCTATTTCTGAGCCTGTGAGAGGGGGGAGAGAGAACCAGCACTGCTACAGACAGGCACACTGCTGAGCCAATGCAGGACTCAGGAAAATATTTAGGGAGGGGAACTAGTGGAAGTTGTTTTACCTTATTGCAGGTAATTCATTAAGGTGAAAAAAAAATTGTTTGGAACCACTTTAGTTCTACTTTAAAGGATAAGTTCACCTTTTGACAAAATATAATAAATGCACATTTTTTTACAGGTATAAAAAAGTGCATATATTTTTTGTTGCAGGAGCTTGTAAAGCATTGCACCAGCAATCAGCACATTACTGGTGTCATGCAGGTCTCCTGCAGACTGTCAGTATATCTGCTTGCCTGTATATCCCGTACAAGCAAACTGATATACTCTGACAGGAAAAATCAATGAACTACCACAGCGCTCACACTGCCGACAACTACAAGCCGACAGCCGCTAAGGCTGTTGGGACATGTAATTTTCTCATTCACAGAGGACTGTGAATGAGTGACACGGCCATGTTTTTTAAAGATTTTGACAGGTTGCAGGAGGGAAAACCCCTGTTAGCTGTCAAAGGCGGGGAGCGGGGAACAGTGGGGGCCTATTCTTTCATACCATGTTACACCCTAAATATGAGTGTAACATGCAACATGTTATGCAAGGTGAACTTCTCCTTTAAGGGAATCCTGTGTGGGGGGAAGTACAAGTGCCACCACTGTTGTCGCTGTCATTTTTTAAAAACTGCTTGTTTGGCTTTCTCTGGCATCAATATTTTATGATATATGACAAAGTAGCCAGCAACTCATATCCTCATCCTAATGACAAAGCTTTGAGAAAGGCTGTGGCTTTCATGGATTCCATATTTTCCACTGTGTGCCAATAAAGTCATTATGATGAGGATATGAGTTTCCGGCTACTATGTAATTTATCTTGGATTGAAACACCAGCCTGAGCACCAGCACCCTACTCACATCTTTCTGATGACCAGTAGAGCTTGGGTGAGTCGTTGTCTGTAATCAATATTTTATGAGTCACTGACCTGGACCAGTCATGCAGCAAGCAAAGTCAGGGATCATAATTTTCCTTCTTCTTGCTGTTAAGTGAGTCAGAAACTATTGAAGTCTCTAGTTTAGCATAACAATCAGGGATCTAGCTTTTTTCAGATGGAGCATTCAGCAATGTCCATCTATATATCCACTTACTACAGCTCTTGTTTAAATATGTTGCATTGCTATTATATTTTATCAGTTTAACAGACTACATTGTTACCCTGTAGTTGTTAAGGGCACTTCTTTACCCTGGACTATCCACTATGATTAAAAATCCATTGGAGCTTGATGTACTGCCCGGACAATATCTTGTTCCATCATTCGACTATTCTGTTGTAGCTTACATTTCACTTATTATTGGCATTACAGGGTGTATTAGTTAGCTTCTTTATTTTGTCTGTGTATATTTGGTAGACCTTTTTTTCTAAATTACTTAAAATACTAAATAGTTTTCTTAACTTCTATCAACATTTTCAGAATAGTCCTTTTATATCTAATAATTATAGCTCAACAAAAACTTCTAAAAAAAAAAAAACTCTTGAGCTTCTTTCATGTCCTTTTTTTACAAGCTTTCATTTAGCTGTATGAAATAGGCTCACTTTGGTTTATCTTGCTAATTTCTTTCATAACTGAAGCTGAACATTTTAATAAGTTTAACATTTGACCAAATTTAAATGTGAAGCTCTTTGATTAGCCAACTGACCACATAACAATTATCTGAACCTAGAGATACAAAGAAGACTGAAATCTCTACATAAATTTCATGTGGTGCACATGCTTTACATGTAGAAAAAATAACAAATACAACTGGGTTTCATTAGCAGGGTAAAGGTAAAACCTCAACATCAAAATGTACCATAGATTATCCCAGATTTTTTACCATACATAGCATAAAAACATTCATAAGACACCAGACAGCTATGTCCACTGATGACCTAGTGAAGAAAGTAAGGTGATGGCATTCAGCAGCTTCAGAACACGTGGAGTGGCCACAGATCATCTTCTTTTTTCATCGTCTAGCCCAAACCATCTATCACATCATAAGATCAAACTGATATATGCTAATATAGTAGGCCTGGAATGATTTATTATCACAGTTTTTTTGTAGCCATGTACTAAAATTGGTGATATACCGTCTATTACTAATATGTCTGCATTTTTATTTAGCTAAAATGAATGACTGTATACTTCATTGTCCAAAGAGAAACTAGTACTTACAATTGGACCAGGTGGACCCTGCGGACCTTCTCCACCTTTTAATCCTGAAGGACCCTGTAAAAAAAAGGGAGTTATCTAAAATCATCTAAATCAATTTTATCAAAAAGTTAAGTTACGTAATATAAACAATAAGCTCTAGCATGTATAGATAGGGAGTATGCATGTTTTAAAGGGAAACTATAATAGGTATGGGCCAATTCTGTTTTAGCAGTTTTTTTGATTTATTGCAGGTATTTATACAACACCAACAAATTATTCAGCTCTTTAACATACTTTACGTTAACATCAGTCGCTGCCCTCAAGGAGCTTGCAATCTAATATCCCTATCTCAAATGCATAAATGAACTTTGGTTAACTTGGAAAGGAGCCAATTAACTTACCAGCATGTACACAAGAAGAACATATAAACCAGGGACCCCAGCATTGCAAGGCAGAAGTGCTAACCACTAAACCACTGTGCTGACCTATTGTTTATATTGAATGTTTTAAATAGTTGTTTATTATTCAATTTATACAATATTCATATAAACTGTTAATATGTTAAAAAGGTTCCATAACACTATAGCACTATGGGTTAGCTAAGGAAACAGTAAGGTAGAGTAAGATTGCTTTGATTTGAGACCCCCTTTGTCTATTTAAAACCTCTGTCTAATATAAAAAGAGTCACTGCTGTGATGACTGAATGAGAAAACAGAAAACTTCTTCCAACACAGCTGAGAGTGATAATGCTTTACATGTGAATAGGAGAATGCAGCATCACCTGCTGGCTGCACAAAAGACTGCATCATAATTGTATGTAGTATTTCATATTTACCAGACTAAAACAAAACTTATTTTGTAATATCCTTGCCAGTATACTAAAAAGAAGAAAATGTGTATTTGCCACTATACATTCAACTGTACAGTGCTTCACTTTTAGGTAAAATGTTACTCTCTGGATGCACATGGAAATTAAATTGTTAAAAGATAATAAATAATGCTGCTGCATTTCTACAATAGTAATTTCCTTTGCTATGACCAAGTGCAGATTTGTGAAAAGGCATAGCATGGAATGAGAATGCAGATTCTTCCTTGTTCTATTAATTTATTTAAAATGTTCAAATGAAAAAATCAGTTACTGAACATATCAATAATTGCATGTTCAGGTATTTCAATTAATTAATGTGTATAAAACCATATGGCCACAAAATATGTAGTTATACTGTAAATGACAACACAATACCATTGATTTAATGGGCATATAATTAAAATCCATTCCGTGCTCTGTCCACAGAATGTCTATGATGATGACTTAAAATAATTTAGGTAACTAAAAAGTCATTCATCTTTAAAAAAAAACACTAACTTGAACTTGGATCTGCTCTCATGCTTCCCATCCTCAAGTCTGATAAAACACAAATCATTGTAGCTTATATTTCCAATGAGTGGAAGTAGCATTTGCATAGTAAATGCTCCCCTTGCTTTAATCCATAAGAACAGGAAAGTGCCCTAGTACCCTGCTAGTCTTGCACAGTAGTCTATCAACAAGCTGAGAAATCAGGGTGTACCTTAACCAGCAATCCTACATTATTGTCCAGAAGTGAAGCCCTATCCTTCCCAATTCTTGGGCCATCAAATCTCAATGTCCCAACCATGGGTTGCCACCACAAACACAAAGTTTTATATATGCATGTACAAATATATATTATATTTTACATTCTGCTGTACATATTCTTCAGCACCCATTGATCAATAGCAGGTTAAAAATGTTTTTCATTTTGTATTTTGGATCTCATACATCATCAGTTGCACATAACTTAGCATTTTAGATCTGTGTTTATTTAAGTTTTTATTTTCAGTTGATTTCACTAGATTTGTTTCTTGTCTTCCCCCCAGCCCAGACTCCACCCCCCATTGACTTCTCCATCATGTCCAACAACGCCACCATCAAACCCGCCCCGCAGGCCAAAGTACTTGGTGTCATTCTGGACTCCAACCTATCCTTCCAGCCCCAAGTCCAATCTTTAACAAACTCATGCAGACTCCACCTCCGCAACATCGCCAAAATCCGCATGTTCCTAACCCCGGAAACCACTAAACAGCTCATCCATTCCCTCATCATATCACGACTCGAATACTGCAACTCCCACTTTACTGGCCTGCCTCGCCACTGGCTATCGCTTCAGTCGATCCTGAATATGGCTGCCAGACTCATTCACCTTTCCAACCGCTCAATCTCTGCCACCCCCCTCTGCCACTCCCTCCACTGGCTTCCGATTGCGCAACGGATCAAATTCAAAATCCTAACACTGATGTACAAAGCCGTCCACCATACTGCCCCGAACTACATCACTGACCTAATATCCAAGTACCACCCAGCGTGCACACTCCGCTCCTCACAAGACCTCCTTCTCTCTAGTTCCCTGGTCTCCTCCTCCCATGCCCGCCTCCAGGACTTCTCCAGGGTGTCACCCATCCTCTGGAACTCCCTGCCCTAACCCATCAGACTATCACCTACTCTCCTCTCCTTTAGGCGCACCCTGAAAACCCATCTCTTCAGGGAAGCCTACCCTACCCCCTGCTAACTTGCCGACCTCCTCCACTCTTCCTACCACTCCATCCCCCACAGCTTTCTCCTCCTGTGCCACTATCCCCTCCCTCCTAGATTGTAAGCTCGAAAGAGCAGGGCCCTCGATCCCCTCATGTTTTTCATTGTATTGTTATTGTTCTGTCACATGTTCTGTCCCCCTTTGTAATGTACAGCGCTGAGTGAGCTATTGGTGCTTTATAAATACTGTATAATAATAATAATTTGTTTGGTAACTTTAGATTTACTCATAAACAAAAAAACAAGACTGATGACTTCACACAAAATAATGCATAATAAAGCAACTACCTATAAATATTAAAGTACACATATAAGGGTAACATATCAAGGACTGCTTGATAAGTTATGTGAGGTAATTCCTAAATTTGTAAGTAAAACTATGGGATGCAACTTCAACTATCAATGTTTAAGACTATTGGATCCCAAGCTTTAACTGTAGTCCAAAGGATGTAGGTTAAGTCCCTAATGCCTACACAACAGATTCCTCATTTGTAAAATACATAAACAATTTTACAAACTGAGACTAATAGCATTGGAAACACAGCTGTATATATTAAATAAGGTAATTGTTGTATGTATAATATCAATGTGCTCACTGAGTAAAAGTACTTTCTTAAAAAAGGGTGCAGAATTATAAAGGTATTATACTCAAAAATATTCTAAACTGTGAAGTCACTACAAACAAGAAGTAGCTGAATTTAACTTTTTTATGACCTGAATGTAATTCTATATTTTGCCTTTTTCTATATTATGGTGCACTTTATTACCTGGGCTCCAGGAAGACCTCTTTCTCCAGGGAATCCACGAAGACCTGGTGGACCATCTTTACCCGTAACCCCTTGAGGACCAGGATCTCCCTATAAATTTAAATCAATGAATATATTGAAATATCACTGATAAATCTTACTTGTTTTGTCAGCTACACAACCTACAGCAACATTAACTATCAAAAGAGTAGATTCTATTCTTTTGAAATAATTAATTGCAAAATTATATCACCTAGCACAGAACATGTTATTGTAAAATAAATGTCCTAACCATTCTACACAATTTATACAGAATGGGGCAGCAACACCACAGCTTCTTCTCGCAAGAAGCACAAACTCACCTTTGCACCCTCTTTTCCAGCTGGTCCAGGTAACCCTTGTTCTCCAGGTGGGCCAGGAGGTCCAGGATGACCTCTCTCACCAATAGGACCAGTTTCTCCAGTTGGACCCTGCAAACAAATGTAACAAACACATTTGGCAGATTTGATGTTTTATAATAAATAATAAACTTTGGAATCAGGTGAAAATGTTTTATAGATGTGGTAATTTATTGCAATGATAAGTGATCAAGAAGAAGGTTTTAATTGAAAAAGGAATGTGGAAGGAAACTGAGTCAATAAGATAAGGAAATGATTGCTACTCACCTGTGGACCTACAACACCTCCAGGACCTGGGGGACCAGTTTTTCCTTGGAAACCCTGAGGAAGCGAAGATTACAGATTACAGTTCATAACTATTTTTTAAGATCACCAGGACATGCATTGGATCAAACATATTCTAAATAGCCCTATACATAAAGGACTGCTACTTGTAGGTGAAAGGAAGGAACAAAATGCCAAAAGAAAGCCTAAAGAGAACCATACCTATAATTTTTATCTAGAGATTTACTAAAGTTTTTTTTCTTGTACAAACTGTCTCAGTTTACTTGGTAATGAGCTTAGAAATTAAATAACTTGCCGTACACTGAAGAGTTGGCTCTAACACCTTCTAATGCATTAGTGACATCATAGTGCTCCTACTTACCGAATCTCCGACAGTTAGAATGCGTGCTAGCAAGCTGAAGCACATCTAGCTGGTGCCAAGCTGCATGTTCCCTGTCAGCGTTGCACAAAATGCAGCTTGGTATAAGAAGAGGTTAAAACAATAAATAGCAATTCATTTGCCTAAAAATAAGAGATTATGACAGCATGGGGGTAAATGCTATCAAACACATGATAAGGAGAGCACAGCTATTTGTTGTTAGAGAGCAATCAAATCTAGTCTGTTAATAGAGCACAGCATAATGAGAAACACAGTGCACAATCATTTCTCATTCTACTGGCAATTGTAATGGACATACAATTCACTATCTCACGTTAAGCAATAAGAAAGCAAAAGGAAAAATAATTGGTTAGGAAAAAAAAAATACAATGGCTAATTGGCAACATTTTCCAAATAACAACCTACAGTGTTCCAGTATTCCTGTCAACTGTGCAGAAAGGGGTAGCTATCCTGTGCCTTGAAGCATTAAATGTCAAGGCCACTAAACTAACAATTCACCTAACCATAAACTATAAATGTTACTCACAGATGGTCTCAGAAAAATCATACGTTTCTGAAAAAAACTAGTTGTTCCATTATCAAGCATTCTGATTTTACCTAGCTTCCTCTGCTATTTATATCATGTTTGGGGATCTAAGTTTTGTTTAGCTATATTTTAGCTGGACTCCTAGAGGTTCATGTATAAAAACCTACCTTGTTTTTCACCCCAAACTGAGAATTAGTTGATGGAGATTTAAAAGGCTCACTGTAACTCAGGTAAGTATAAACTTGTAGGATTCTAATTGGTAGGCCATGCAGCCAATGCGAGTTCTGAATCTATGCACTTTCATAGATGGCATGTTGCCTTCAGTAGCATGTAGCCATAAGGGGTGTAGTCTTTGTCAAAGTGCAGAATGTTTACATTGCTGACTAAACACAGCCTTGAGGTTGACCAAGTGCTAAACATTCTGTAGTAACTGTAAAAATAGATTATTGTTTGTAATTACACTCCTCTCCAAAATGTACACAGGTATGGCCACACTGATGAGGGATGAAATTTATATCCAGAGGTAAGAAGATAATTATATAAAACATATTTACAAGAATGACAATGCTAAAGTTGCTATACCCACTAAATATTTGCAAGCTACCAATAATTAATGGTGAACAAGCAATAGGTAGCATAACTAAGCGTACCAATCAGAATTATATTATCTAGGGATGCTATATTATTTAGAATGTCTGTTTATTGAAGTATTAAGCAATGCAATCTCGCTTGGCTAGCTATTATTTCTTAACATATTTGGTCCTCTGCGCATATATAATACTGTAATTATATCCCCATTCAGCTGATGGACATGAGATAATCACTGGGGAGAAAATTGCTGGTTTAACCTCACCGACAGGCTTGTTATAGAGTTGGAAGAATATTTATTGGATATGAAAGACACCCTGGATTTCAGCAAGCTGTTAAATTAAAAATACATCTCCAGCAGTGCAGCAAATATGTGGTAACAACTACTGAAATGTATTATCAGGTTTGTGGAGCTGTAATGACTATTATTAAAATTATCTGGATAACTGAAAAAAAGCAAACACCAGAAGTAAGCTAATAAAGTAAAAAAAAAGTAACACTTTTTTGGGATGGTACATAAGTGATATTTTTCTATATGACTATTTTGTTTCACTAACTAACAGGACCTAGTTAACAACTAACTTTATATTTCAAGCACTGGTAAAATTGCCAAAGTTCCCCTGTTAGTGTGGTCATGGAGAGCCTTCCCAATGTACGATGACCCCCTGGGAAACAAGAATGTTTTCCAGCTGTGCTTGTGACTGAATTTAAATATATTTTAATCTAACACTAGTTTAGTTTTCGACAGAGTGGGCAAATGTCTTATTTTCCATGTGTGACCCAAGGAGAAGAATTATCTATTCTTTTTTTGTCCACCAGACCTAATGCGAAGTGAGAGGCGATTTTTTTCAAAGTAAGGGAAATCCCCTTTCAGTTGCCACCAGAACAAATGTCCTTTCCTTCACCAAAGCAAGTGAATATTTCCTCCCAATTCTTGTTCTGGTAACAACTCAAAATTTTGATTTTCTCCCATTTTCAGTCCTGTTTACAGTGGTCACCAGGGCAAAAATTAAGAGGGCTTTTTCCCCCACAAGGACAAAGTCAGCAATAAAAATGGAAAAAGGGTTCTAACCCTCATCTACTTATTTCAACACTAAAAAATACTGGGCTTTGGATACACCTCAACTAATCTGAGCCCAGTTATATAAAGACAAACTGATGTTCTTAAGTCAAAGACTGTATCCTTTGTGCAGGGCTAAATAGCTCCCATGTGTCTTTAAACTGAACTTTTAGCTTTATTCAGTCTTTCATGATATTATGAATATGTCCGCTATATTTAAAAGGAAACCATCATCATAATATAAAATTCATAAATTGAAAGGTTTCTCTGGATTTTTCATGCTTTTCGCTAAGTAGTATGTTGAAACGTTCAAGTTATTCTCTTTGATGAATATTTTCACAGTATAAACGGTATATCTTCTCTATGCTATTTTGAGATTGGCTTTTACAGGGGAAAAGTAAATTAGACACTCAATGTTCAGCAAGACTACCAACTGGGCAAAGGAAAATGGCTTTCTAAAAATGAACGGCACCTGTTTCAACAAACACATTAGCTGGAAGCAATGAAAAAGATGAATGAAGAAATTCTAAGATTCTGAATATATTTAAAATATGTGTGCTGTAATGTTCTTTGTATTTTAGTGATGTGATATTAGGTTACGAAGATGCTCTTGTCACATGTAAAGAGCACCAAAATAACAAATGACAGACCACTATAGACAAATAGGGCCGGATCTAGCCTGTCTAATGTGGGGGTGCAGTAAAAAAACATCAGGGGGGCAGAGGATGCAAGGTCAACACGGCAGTGTATAGAAGTTAGTAGGGCAGTGTTCAGGGGGGCCAGCAGGGTAGAGTACAGAGGCCATTAGTTTGTAGAGCAGTTTAAAGAGGGTTATCAAGGCAGTATACAGGGGTTAGCAGGGCAGTGTACAGGGGGTCAGCAGGACCGGGGATGAAAGGTCAGCAGGGGAGTGTACAAGAGTCAGTAGGGCAGTGTACAGGTGGTCAGTAGGGCACAAAAGAGGGGTCAGCAGGGCAGAGGATGGCATATCAGCAGGGAAGTGTACAAGAGTCAGTAGGGCAGTATACAGGGGTTTAGTAGGGTACAGAATAGGGGTCAGCAGGCAGAGGATGGGAGGTCAGCAAGGGTGTGTACAAGAGCCAGTAGGGCAGTATACAGGGGTTTAGTAGGACAGAAGCTAGGGGTAAGCAGGGCAAAGGACAGGGGTCAACAGTTGAGATAACAGGGGTCAGCAGGTTGGAGGGGTTTATCAGGGCAAAGACAGGGCAGTAGGGTAAAATACAGGGCAGACAAAAGGGGGTCAGCAAGGCAGAGAAAAGGGGGTAGCAGCACAGAGGACAGTGGTCAGGAGGGCAGTGTACGGGGGTCAGCAGGATAGAGGACAGGGGTCAGCAGGGCAGGGCACAGAAGGTCATCAGGGTAGAGGACAGGGATCAGAAGAGAAGAGGACAGGGTCAGAACTGCAACATAGCAGCCAGCTATACACTGCAGATTGAGGCTGTGTATGAAAGGGAATCTGATCTCAGCTATCTGCTGTGTGGAGAGGAGGAGATCTATTGACTGCCCTGTGCATGGTGCCAGGACAAGGTCATCTATCTCCCAGGGCGAAGATTACAAACTAAGCCCCCTCATGCGTGAGCATCCTGTCTCAGCATAAATCCCTCCCCTTGAAAAAAAGAAGCACTAAACAGCACACTCCACCCCAAGCATAACTTCTGTCTGAAAGTCAAAATTCTCCCCAAACAACAATGCAAAAATTCCCCCCTCCTCCCAGTGTAAACCTCCGCCCAGCACAAATCTTTGCCACCCAATCCTACTTCCAATGCACCCAAATCCCCCTCCTAGCACAAATATCACTCACCCAAAAAATCACCCCTCCATGCACACATCCACTTTCTCCTTCTTAGCATAAATCCCCCCCCCCTCCTAGAACAAATCCCCCCTCCTAGCAAAAATCCCCCCCAAGTCCCTTCTCTTAATCCAAATTCTTTCACCACCTCCTACCACAAATCCTTCCCCCAATCCCCCTTCTGGCACAAGTCCCCTCACTAATCCCCCCTCCTAGCATAAACCTCCCCACTACCCCTCTCTAGCACAAATCGCCCAGCTAATCCCCTTCTCCTAGTACAAATCCCCCCAATCCTCTCTTCTAGCACAAATCCCCTGTTAACCCCCCTCCTAACACAAATCTCTCCAATCTCCCCTTCTAGCACAAATCTCCACACTGATCACCCCTTCTAGCACAAATCCCCCCCTCCAATACCCTCCCTTTGACAAATTTCCCTAAATTCCTACTTCTAGCACATCCCCTGCCAAGGTATCTTTCCCAGTACAGATCCTCTCCTTTTCCAAATCCCCTGCCCCCTTTTAGCCCAACTCCTCTGCCCCTCTTAGCCCAAATGCCTCGCCCCCTCTTAACCCAAATCCCCTGCTCACTCTTAGCTCAAATCCTACGCCCCTCTTAGCCCAGATTTCCCAGCCCCCTCTTAACCCAAATCCCTTTCTCCCTCTTAGCCCCAATCCCCTACCCCCTCTTAGCCCAAATCTCCCGCCCCCTCTTAACCCAAATCCCCTGCCCCCTCTAAGCCCAAATCCTCTGCCTCTCTTAGCTTAAATCGCCCACCCCCTTTTAATCCAAATCCCCTGCCACCTCATAGCCCAAATCCCCTGCACCCTCTTAGCCCTAATCCTCTGCCCTGTCTTAGCCCATATCCCCTGCCCCTTCTTAGAACAAATAGGCACAAAAAATCTCCCCAAGCCCCCTCCTGCCTCAAATACTCCAATTCCTTCTCCTAGCAGAACCCACCCCCCCCCCAACACCCATGACCCTTTCCAGCACATCCCAAGCACAAATGACTGTTTCCCCCCACACCTCCCCCTTCATTATGTACAATTTTTCTGTAAGCCCCCCCACCTCCATACTCCCCACTTACAGTCGAGACGCTCGGGCTGTGCAGCGCTCTGCTCCCTCCTCCAGTCAGAACACAGCTACTCCATATATCTGATGACACAGGATTGCTCCGTCCATCGGGCTCTACACAGTTTCATTACCTGCCCCCTACCCACATTTCCTGCTGTGAGAGATAAGCGGTCCTTACAGGAGATAGGAGTGGGTAATGAAACTATGTACAGTCTGATGGACAGAGCAATCCTATGTCATCAGCTATATGGAGCAGTGCTGTTCTGACAGGAGGAGGAGGCAGAGCACAGCACCGCTCCTCCAGACTCTCTCTTCTTTGTCACTTTCTGGACTTAACTGCTCTAGGCTCCCTTTCTATTGTCCCGGCTCTGAGTGTGGAGATGGGGGGGAAGGAGCTCAGCAGTCTGGGGGGGCACAACTGAAATCTGGGGGGGTGCAGCCCACCTCAGCAGCCCGCTAGATCCGGCCATGTAGACAGATCAATGGAATGTTGTATAACATAAAAAACTGCAGAGATCACGGTGATGATAGTTTCCTTCAAGATTATACTGTAACTGAAAAAAAACAATTTAAAAGTTTTAGGTGGGGCTAAAGCAAATAGTGATGGTCCTGGGATGCACCTGCAAGGAAAGTAGTGGGTGAAAGCAGCACAGGCAACATATTCATGAAGAAGCAAATGGTTAGTGTTATTCGCATTCTGCCATATTTATGAAGCAATTCTATGAACATATCTGCAGCAAATTTAATAGCCGAGCCATTAACGGTAAATGCTTTGGAGATCAATGATCCTGGATCAGTTAATACTCTAGAAAATGGGTATAGTATTGGTTCTTAAACTGTCTTTGCAAAACAGTCATATCTAGCTATACATTCTAAAATATATACTTGAAACCTAAATTCATCATTCTACAAAACTGAAAACTGTAAGACAGCAAATTAATAATTGAACTAAAGTTTATTTCTATTGTGATTTGATCATTATTGTGTGTTATGTTAAATGTTAAAATCTGTCTGTGTGCTATAAAACTGTAGACATGTCTGTGTCTTCAGAAGGCTGTGTCTATAAACACTGATGCCTATTGATGGTATGTTATATACAGTGCATTTTGAAGACACAGCTTTGACTCTAATTCCCACAATATTAGTAAAATGTTTAGTATCTCTCCCTGAGCTTAGCTGGTACTTCAAGAGCCTCAAACATAATTACAAATGCTCCCACAAAATGTAAACTTTGGTTTTAACAGTTTATTTTATTCTAGCCAAACAGTTGCATTCATAAATGTGCTGATTTTGGCCCACATCAGAATTTTAATTAAAAGTGATTGTCAACCCTTTCTAGGGCATTGTGGTGACTGAAGTCAGAACTACTCTAATGTCTAGGAGTATATTCTCTATGCTGTGATACTTAATATTTTGTAAATGTACACTTATAGTCTCTAGATCTTCCCAAATATTTTCTAGATCCATTTATCTTTGCTGAATTAATACAATATAAATCTTTTTTCACCATATAATTAATTCAGCCAGGCTACCTAGAAATGGAAAATCAATAAGGAAAAAACTTTAAAACTATTATGTTTTGATTGTGGTTAAAGGAAACCTTTACAGAGAAGCATGGATGCTGCCATTGCTAACTCACATTTTGCAATTGCTAGCTCCTGACTATCATATTTACCCTCTGAGTGCAATACTTTGTGTTCTTTGGAACAAGCATGCAAACAAGGCCGTCTGACTTTACAGATTGTATACTTATTCCAGGTCAAGGACTCAAACCTTATTACACTTAGCTGGTCATTGAACTAACCAGAAATTACCATATGCAAAAGGGAATTGTCAATGGCAAACTAATGTATTTCTCAGGAAAGGTTTGCTTCAATCATGTTGGAAGGCAGCTAATTAAACAGCCCTCAGAACTAAACACGGGTATAGCAATGAGGGTTAATGTAATCAGCAACCTTCATAGCCCACTTATGAGTATTTACAGCTGTTTGACACCCACCCTTCTGAACTAACTTGCATGCTACTTGCAATAAACAAGTCTAACCAGGTATGAGAACACATCTGCCATGTAATCTGCGGTGAGTCTTCCCATACCTGGCCAGGAATGTTTAGAGAAAGTAGCTCTCAGAAAATGACATGGGTGTGGAACAGCTGACAATCAACACATAGATTAAAATACTTACAGTCTCACCACGCTGTCCAGGGTGGCCGGGCAACCCATCCTTTCCAGGAGGCCCCTTAAATATACAAAATATGAAGTTAGAGGGTCAAAAAAAGAACTTTCTTAAGTTAGTCAATGACAAAAAGAACAACAAAGTCAGACTGACCAGACTGCTGCATGTGACTGAAAGTTTAAAATAGAGTGTCACACCCTATGCACTTGACATGTACAATACTACTTATTTAGTGCGGGTCAACAGATTGGTGCTTATGGGGCAGTACATTATGTGCAAACTTAAAAAAACTATTCCAAGAAATATGTTGAATCAGCAGTTGGATCCATAATGCTATTAAGGACATACAGATAGACCACTCAGTTTAATATAATCCAAGGGTTATATTATTTTGTCACATTTTCGAGTCTCAGTGTACTGCTGGGTAGGACTGCAGGTTCTCATCACATAATTCTGTGCTGTGCAATTGTCCTCTCTCCTGAGCAACAGCAAGGAAGCATACAATGGGTAAGAGTATTCGCCCCTTATTTCAATGTGGCTTTAATGTGGATCATCATTCATGGATGAATAAGAACCAGTTCCGGGAAACTCAGTTTCATTTATTGCTGTTGCCTGATACACTACAACTATGTAAGGGGTTAAATCAGGAATGGAAGGTAAGATATGTCCTATATTTGCCTTTGAAGGTTCAATTTTTATTTTGACTGGGATGTACCTTTAACTTATATCACCTTTACTATATACACTCACAACATGCATTGAAATATTTCACAGAAATGTTCATTCTGTGATCTTTTCCTATGCATGGTCCCATAAATGCATGTTGAGTATATGACTTATGTTGATGTGTATCTTCACACTTTGCTTTCACTGAATACACTAACAACTAAATATTAAGATGAGAGGCAGAAAGGACATTTTTTTAAGCAATGTTTCTATTAACGTCATAATTAGTGCATAATGCAATCCCATGTAGCATATTAACAAGAGAATGTACTGGGTAACATAGAAAGAATAATAACTTTAAGGAACAGAGGCATTCTATTGCCTCTGCAGCTAACTATGCGTAATGTTCCAAGGCTATTGTCTAATTTTATTAAGTGATTCCAGAGTACCAAAGTAATTCAGAAAGGCAGCAGCAATAAATATAAAAATCTGGAGCCACTGAAGCTACAAGCTCATTTCAGTTACATATACAGAGTTTGAATGCTCAGATACTTACAGGGGGGCCCTTCGGTCCTGGGAAGCCAACAGGGCCCTGTGGTCCTTGAGGTCCCTGGGATGCAAAGAAAGATAACGGCAATATTTAATAAATGAAACACTGCAAACAGTCATTACAATCTATATGCTGGTATCAAAGAGGGTTAAGATAGCAGATGATCAATGTGCTAAGTAAAGGAAAATCATATTATAGTCAACATTTCCCTATTAGCACTAAATTAAATTGTGCCCTTGGTACTACAGTAATTAGAGTAAATGAAAGATCAAACAACTATAATGTGTATAGCAATGAAGCAGACTGGAACACAGCAGATTTGATGTAAAGCCTTCTATAGTCTGTTCTGCTCTATTAGATCCCTGCTTAGCACCATCTCCAGCAAGAATCATTGAAAGTAATGGAGAAGGTAATACAGAAAATTCAGTTTAGATATACATCCTGTAGATCAAAGTGAAGGATCTGATATGCTAATGGTCCAGAAATCCAAGGAAAAGTACTGATTGTAAAAGTATTCACTTTGATATTGTTGCTTGACTATTAAATCATAGAACCCTTAGCACCAACAAGCAAGAGTGAACCAAAGGAAATTTTAAGTGGGGTTAGTAACTGACCTTTTATAAAAAAAATAGGTGAATTCAAAAGGACAATTTTTTTTTGTTGTCATGATATCTCAATAGCTAAGCAAGTGATAAAAGTATGCTACCTGGATATATATCCAATTTTAGCAAATAAATAAATAAAATGCAGAAAAAAAAGCTTCTTTGCCATTTATAGGCATTGGGAGGATGCCTGTGTACCTGATTTTGTTCTCTAATACTAAGGTAGGTCATGCCACTCAACTTTCTTAAAGCGTTACTAAAACTGAAACAAAAATGCAATCCTTGAGTTTTTTTCTTTTTTTTACCCTGGTGATTCTTCTAATACCATGCTTCCTATCATAGGATGACAGCGCTTATTTACTAATTCTATAGAGCAGACATCGCTAATGGTGGAACACTGTCCAAATCTGCACCGAGCCACTGTCCCATCTGGACCAGGGGTCGTGCCATTCACAAGGCTTTTTTTCTCCCTGGCCTCTGCAGTGCAGAGAGTGTCAGGCAGAGGATAGCAATGAATGGAGAGTGGGAGGCACAGCAGCATCTGGATGGAGGGCAGGAGTGGGAGCTGCATGAGTTAACTTTGATGTGAAATGGATAGTGCTGTGGTGGGTGATGTAAAGGGAAGCAGTGCTGTGGGGGGTGATGTAAAGGGGGGCAGTGCTTTGGGGTGATGTAAAGGGGGGGCAGTGTTGTGGATGGTTGATGTGAAGGGGGCAATGGACACTAATGCGAAGGGGAATTATGTAAAGTGGGAGACAGTGATGTGTGGGGGCAGACCCAGACTGGGACAAAAATAGGCCCAGGCATTTTAGACTGAGCATCCCTTTTTTTTAACCAAATTACAAATAATGACACCTACCAATTTCTCCATGGCTTTTAGTTATAGTTAGACTGCTTCAGTCACTGTAATTTAGCAATTATTTGGAATGATGTAAATATATGATAATAAAGGACAGATTGAATGCAATATATAAAGTGCTACATGCTGCGAGAGGTGACACACTGCAGGGGGAGGATTACTTGAGCAGAGTAAGTTCTTGCCCATGTCACAGTCCCTCCCTGGAGGTCTGCACCAAACTCGATATAGAAGTAAAAAACAGATCCTGGCTACACACATTTCTTTCTGTCTTCCTCCACCAGGTTTTTACAGGCAGCTACCACTGAGCGCTGGCATCATGTCCTGTGGTGAGGCCAAAGGGAGGACTGGTCCAGGAGGACTCAGAGAGTCGGTGTCACTCCCTAGAGGCCCAAATGGCTTGCAGCAGACAGAGACCCGAGGGTGAAAGCCAGGTGCATGATATAACTTATATAATCAAATATTTTATGTCATGGTTCTCATCCTCTGGAGCTCTATGTCACATTAGCCAATTCTTGATAGCAGGGCTTCTTTGATATTGATTGGATCCTGGGCAAACATTTTTTGGGCCCCATAGACTCCGTAGAGTACTCCCTTATACCTGTATCCCCAGCTTTCTGCCTTACATCAGAGTTCCCAGTCTTCTCCCTTTACATGAGAGTTCATAGTTCTCTCCTTATATCAGATCCCCAATTTATACTAGTATCCCCCACTCCCCTTACATCAATGACAGAAAGGGGGAGAGGGAGGAGGAGAGAGAGGGTGTCGGGTTTGGGGGAGAGAGGGTATAAGAGACAGACACTGCACCCACATACCCACAGACACCACACCAACAGACACCTCACCCATGTACGCACAGACACACATCTACAGCACCCAGACACCGCTCCAACAGACACTGCACCCATGTACCCAAAGATACGGTACCCACAGACACTGCACCCAGAAACTTCCCCCCTAAATACCCACAGACACCCCACCTACTGCACCCACAGACACTGCACCTACAGAAACTGCACCCACATACCCACAGATACTGTACCTGCAGATACTGCACCCACTTATCCACAGACACTGCAACTACAGACATTGTACCCATGTGCCCACAGACACCACACAAACATACCCACAGAATCCCCACCCACATACCCACAGACACCACATCCACAAACACCACACCCACAAACATCCCACCTACATACCCACAGACATTGCACCCACAGACACTGCATTCACATACTCACAGACACCCCACCTACACCCACAGATACAGCACCCACATACCCACAGACACTGCACCCACAGACACTGCACCTACTGCACCTACACCAGACACTGCACCAACAGACACTGCACCCATGTACCCACAGATACCGTACCCACAGAAACTGCACCCACAGACACCCAACCTACATACCCACAGACACCCCACCAACAGACACCATACCTACTGCACCCATGTAATCACAGACACTATACCCACATACTCATAGACACCACACTCACATACCCACAGATACTGCATCCACAGACACGGCACCCATGTGCCCGCAAACACTGCACCCATGTACTCACAGACATCCCAACCACAGACCCCCCACCCAGAGACACAACATCCACACACCTACAGAAATCGCAATCACAGACACCGCACCCACAGACACTGCACCCACAGACATTCCACCCACAGACACCCGACCCACAGACACCGCACCCACAGAAAAAGCACCCACAGACACTGCACCCACATACCACATTCACCGCACCCACATACTCACAGACACCACAGACACTGCATCAACATACCCACAGACATGATTTATCACAAGGCTCCCATCTTGCCCTCTCTAAAGGCCACATACTCAGCACTCAATGGACAGTCTCCCTCCCTTTGTCCGGCAATGGGTTGTCATAACACATGCTCGGGAATCTGGCACTGCTCAAGGTACACAGCATCAGGCGGAGGGGCGCTTTGAAAGCAGAGCGTGGGAAGCCCAAAGGAAGTTCACAGCCTGCTATCCATAGCAACGATCCTCCACCCGCCTCTTCAAGCAAATTGGGCAAACCCCCAATCATGAACTCCAGAACTGCTCAATTAGCTGTCATTGATCGGAGCATTGCCTGTTTAATGTAATGTGCTGCCGAGCCAGTGATCAGAATGGTATGTGTCAGCACACTCAGCGCTCCACTGGACATGGGGCCCAGGGGCCCCGGCCCACTGGGCAGATGCCTGTGGGGGGGACTGAGGACACTAATATAAGTGCAAAATTGTGATATAAAATGAAGGGACTGTGATGTGGAGGATCATTGCACAAACATGTGATTCGGACCTCTTCTGGAAGAAAATTTTACTGATCAGGTCTCCATGAATTTTAATTTAATACCCCTGCTATAGAGGAACAGCTTTGTCACCCTAGGCTGTTCTTCGCCTCAACCCTTTTAATTGCGGGGTAGTATCTTGTAGTTAACAGAAGATAAGAAAGAAGACTGATAACATTACTTAAGATGTCTGTTCAGTGCACAGAATGTTGCAAGGATGCTCTAGCAAGATCAACATGGATTTTTCTGCGCTTGCAGAAATTCTATATAATCGGAAACAGAAAACCAATGCAATCACTACATTCAAGGACTGATAAGCTGCAATATATAATATCTTTGTGGGTTTAGCTCTACTATAGATGAAGTGTAAAGGCACGCCCATTATACCACACAAACAGGCCCAGTTTTAAAGTAGAAATCCTTAAAGTGGTTGTAAACCCTAAAACCCTAAACTTTTTTTTAGCTTAATGCACTCCCTGCATTATGGTAAAAAATGTTTCAGGGTGTGTATTCACCCCCCACACACACACACACACACACACACACCTATATACTTACCTGAGCCCGATCTCAATCCAGCACTTTGCCCATCTGCAGCGGCTCTCTTCTCTTCCCCCCACTCTCACAGCCTTCGCTGAGAACAGCAGGAACCACTGGTGCCCACTGCTGTCAGTCAAATCCTGGTGACAAGGTAGTGGGCAGGTGGGTCTGAGCTTAGCTGTCTGTGTCTGTTGACACAGGCAGCATGGTTCAGAATCAAGACCTTAGGTGTACCACAATAGGAAGTGGCTTCCTGTGGTGGCACACTGAGAAGAGGAGGAACCATGAGGGGATCCCAAAAGAAGAGGATTCAGGGCTGCTCTGTGCAAAAAAAGACTCTACAAACACGTTAACCCCCCGTTCCTGATTTCCCTTTACATTCGCAGCACAGTTTAATCACCAGACATGAAACCCCTCCATTTTAAATTTTTTCATATTTTGAGATGTTCATGTGACCACTCACCCTCAGTTTACTCATGCCATCATCCATCGAGGCATGAGATTCTGTGGTGAATGCCATTGTTTTTAACGCTGGTCTGATATATGTTGGTTGTCCGATTAATGCATTAAATCCCTCTCTTCTGAGGCTCCCTGAAGAAGATCTTGGATTGAAATAAGTGAAATGCCCCAGGACTATTAGGGCTTTTATGTGTTTTGTTTTTTTTATTTTTGACCCCACATAGGGGATTATGTTGAAAAAATTATGTCAGAGCTGCTAGATAAATTGTAGTACATGCATAATGAGGCTTTTAGGAAATTTTGTAAAATAAAGCATACAATTTTTATATCTGAATATATGTGTGGTATTTTACGAGCTACATTGAAGTCCCAAGGGGGTATTTCTCTTGAATACATTTTACTTTTTTTTATGTGTGGCTACATTTAAGTGCAACTTTTGTTTAAAAAAAGCAAACCCATTACATAAAAATTAAATAACATAGCAATGATTGGAGTTGAAGGTATTGAAATTGAGAGTAGCAGTCCATGATGAAAGTTCCTGCTCTAGCATATCACTTCTCATTCTTACCAACTGTAAATGACAAACTTTTTTTTCTTTGAATGCAGATTGCCCAATGTTCTTATATTGGTACTACAATAAGTTGGAGACCACCCTTGCAGGCTCAGCCTACCTACAGTCCTTGCCCTGGCTTTGGAATCTCATGGACTCTCATTACTACAATAAGACCATCTGATTTTTCAGTTTGTTAAAGTATTAGTTTACCTATACAGAAAAAAAAGTAAAAAGGTAATCTAACACCGAACACCTTCCCCAAACCCCATCCCTGCTGTAAGTACCTCCATGGATATTGAGCTGTTAGTGCCCATGCAGCCTGTTCAGGAAATTGGGGATTTGAAGTCCCCGCTCCTCTCTCTCTTTCTTAGTGATGAGCTTCTGGGAAGAATCAGAGCAATTCTGATTGGTTAGTGCCGCCACTGATCATCAATATGATCCATCCCAGAAGCACTGCACAGAGAAGAGGGAAAAGAGTGGGGATTTCAAATGCCTGCTCAAAAACACAAAAACTGCTGGACTAGCCATGTGGGCACTGACAGCTCACCATCCACTGTGGTAGGTACAGAAAGGATGAGGAGGTTGGGGAGGATGTATGTGTTAGTTCACCTTTACATTTTTCTGCTTAAGTGAACTAACACTTTAAATACGCTGACACCAGGTAGGGGAATTGTTTCTTTTTTTAAGACAATCATATCAATATGCCTTATTTTTGGTGATTAATAAAAATGATTGGGATTGATTTACTAAAGGCAAATAGATTGTTCACTTTGCAAGGGAAGTTGTACTTTGAAAGGGAATTTTCCCCAGAGTGTAGTGAGTTCCACCATCCAATCATTTGCAAGCAAAAAACATTGTTTTTTCCTTGAATGTGATTAGGTATTGTTTGCAAAGTGAAATCTCATCACCTTCTAATCTTTGGGGCACATTCCCTTGCAAAATGAACAGCCTATTTGCCATTAGTACATCAACCCCACTATTACTGCAATTTATGAAATATGTGATTTGCTTTGGCACAAGTCAACACACATATGCAAAAGAATCAACTGTTTACCTGGAAAGTTTCAACTATGTGTAATCCAACCAATATGCTACGCCTACAAGGCAAGACCTAAATGTCTTTCCCTGGTTTTAATGTACTGCACTTATATGTACAAACATCATGCTGAAATAATTCAAGACGCTTATGTTAAATAGCTGTATCCTGGTATTTCACTTCTCACACTGAAGCAAGACATAAAATCAAAGAAAGCAAGGACTTTCATGCCTTTTATGTTTACATACAATATCACATGAAAAATAAGGGGGATTTACACTGCATGTAGAGATCACGCTATATGAAGCTGCCTTGCTGTGTTAACACTAAAGTCCTGCAGGGAGCTGTAGCTTCACAGTATGTCACTGAACAATGTGCAGATAATTACAACATTCTACATTATTATATAGATCGTCTGTTGTGAAGGTACAGATCATTTTTTCAGAAATATAGAACATTACTTTGCAAAATAGAGTCTCAATGTGTGGGGAAGAGTCAGCAGCAAGATACAATATTGTAACTCCTTCCTATTCTCAACTGTCTTACCTTAAAGGGAAAACAATTTCAACAATTATGTCATAAACCTGCATTCCATGCACAGCGCATTCAATGCTGGGTGTTCAATCTGCTGCAAGTGTTGATATAATCTTAACAACACCCTAAATACAGATCACAAATGCAGTGCATTTGCCTGCACTAGATCACACAGTACCACACTACCATGTGATCTGGTGCAGTGCATCTTTGAAAAGTAGTGCATGCACTACTTTTGGTGTGAGTCAGTGTGATTTCACCCCATTTTAATTGATTCACAAAGGAACGTGCTCCATGTTCAGGTGTGAACCAGCTCTTAAAGGTGGTTATAGGTATGTTGGCAATTATTTTAATTTAAAGATAACCATTTAGGATCATCTGGATCCCATAGCCCAGGGATTCCCTCAGGCAGCTGGGTTAAGAAAAGGATTCATGTGGGGTCTGGGGTGGTACACCAGGAGAGGATAGGGAGCTCTGCAAGAAGAGAATTTTCTGTCTTTGGACCTGCACATAGTTGTTAAACAGTTGTCCTCAGTGTACTGTTCCCTGGGCATTCCATACACCCCTTAACCCATCCAAGTTCAATACCCCTAAATAAAACTAAAAAAAAAACAAGATTAAGGACTGTTTACTGTCTCCAATGTGCAAGGTTTGAAGAAAATGTGTGTTGCCTGGCTGTGCCGGACTGTAGGGGGACCCAAAACTCAGCGACTCCTAAGGAGGTATTACCACACTAATAAAGTGGCCGATGAGTGTATATGACATTCCATAACAAGTGTGTGCCTGCTATTTGTCAACTCCATTTGTGGACACCTGTCTGAAAGGTGTGGTAACCGGAAAATTACTTACCATCCACTGCAACCAATGAAAACATTTTTTTGTTTGTTTTGCATTTTCAAGCTGTTTTCTATATAAATGACACTTGGAAGCTGATTGTTTACGATTGTTAGCAAAACATGTTCTTGCCACTGCACTTTTCAGAAATTAGCCCTTTTGTGTTTAGTTGAATCTTTGTGTACCTTAATAAAAGCATCTTGTAAGACTCTGATATATTGACAATCCTATGATCCTTTCACCAAAAATAAGATATCATCATCTCCATCACCCAAAGAAATACAAATATATGTACTATGAAGTACACAGCTCCACCAAATGTATACAAAGGTTTGTGCAGGAACGGGTTACTGTACATCCAACTGACAATAGACTAGAGGAACAGAGACTGAAGAGCAGAGATTAAAGATGAGAAAATTGTAAAGGTTCTCCAAATAACAGTGTTGACAAAAGAAATAACAGAGTTGAATACAAGCATCACCCATCACTTACTCTTTCACCAGGTGGGCCGGGAGGACCATCATTTCCTGCTGTGCCCTAAACACATGAGAGAAAACAGTGTGCTGTTCAGTGAACATAGAACAGAGTTAAAGATGTATACTATATATTATACTGGTTTGTGGATGTTTTCAGACTATAATATTTTACAATTTTTACTATTTTCTTATAAGCTAAAGAAAGGATCTACACAAAACTATTTCCGTCATTCACATATGATGAAGGGTTAAAAAAACTAACCACTTTTTTCTCGCTTAGAAAATGGTAAGATTTCTGTACAAGTTCACAAGCCCTTTCAAAATAGTTAGGAGGGGATCTGACTTTCTTTGTTGAACTTTTAATGTATTTTATATTAAAAAGAATGCAGCCAATAGAGTGGGACATACTTGTTAGAAAGAGGAGTAAAACTCCAAAGTTAGAACTGTGGCAAGATGATCTAGCTGCTGGAATTCCTACCATGTATGAGTACACAATACGTGCAACTCGCACCCAACAAAAACTTTTTTACAGGCAATTTTTGTAATATTTTATATGATCTAATATATTTTGATTGATTTAATAGAAAAAAAAATAACATGATATAATATATTACTGGCCTGCAGCCAATCAGAGAATGATAAAAAAACATGATAATTACCTTAGGACCTGGTTTTCCAGTAGGACCCCTTGGACCTCTAGCGCCCCGTGGACCCTGTGTGAGGAAATAAGTGAAGTCCATGAGTCTTCTTATTTACATTATAAAACTATTGATGAGGGCATGTTTTAAATATTTGGGATGCAACTCAATCAATCTAGAATGCAGTTAGAGCGATGTGTAACCTAGAAGAGCACTCACCGTTGGACCTCGTTGTCCCCTTGGACCTGGTTTTCCAGCAACACCCTAGTGGAGCAGAGAAACATATCTGTATTACTTAATAGTCATGAAGTATAACCTAAGAAACCAACGAGCCTTATGAATGTCAGACATCTTCTGATCCAGACTTAATCATCTGTAAATATCCAGATGTTATGGAAATATAAAATGTACTGTCAAACATGTGCACAAGAAATGGCCTTAGGTTATATCCTTAGATGGCTAAGTTCCTGCATGAAAATGTATTTTTGCATTAAATATAAGATAAAAATTGTCGATTCAACAGTAATTGTCTTATAAGAGCAGACAGAAAGAAGAATATGCTACATGATCCAAATATTGCCTGCATGCCACTTATAAAATTCAAATTCCTTGTATGTCATTTCAGCGTTAGCATTTTTTGCAAGCTCTTGTCAGAGGCATATCAAAACTTGTCAAAAAACATGAGCTAGTCCATAGTTTCTCTAGTCTAAATTTTTCATAGGCATGTATGACCTTGTACTGCAGCTGAATTATATAAAGGAAAATACAAATGTCTAGTGATTTGTTTTGTGTGAACCAGAACAAAGACTGCCAGAATATTTTTTAAAATATATCATACCCGAGCTCCTTTTTCCCCATTGGCTCCTGCAAATCCTGGGAATCCTGTTGATCCCTAGTGAGAGGTTGCAAAGAGAATGTTCTTTATATTTTATTCCTCAAAAACATCATAATTACATAAGTTATCACAAACCACCTGTAGGGCTTAAAAGAAAAAAAACATTCATTTTAACACTAAATAGATATTTCTATCTCCTATTTAATATAATTGTACATAAAATTATAACACATGAACAGCTACATTTCCAAGGTAAGCATTGATTATGTTTCCCACCACCTGCTGTTCACAAAGTTTGTTGCAAGAATTGTCTTCCTATAACAGAAATAGCCTTCTAGTTCTTGTCTTTCTTACACCCCTAAAGCTCTACCAAAAATGTTATCATTACGTACAAATGATGTGGCCTACACATTAAAATTCATTTCTTACCAGAAGTGTTCAGATCCGGAAAGCATAGAAAAGATTAGAATATTTCATGAAACCAGCTGCAAGTCAGCACAGTCAATTAAGGTTTCATCCTCACTGTCTCTGTTCACTTAATGATGCTCCAGAAACTCAGTAAGACAAAGAGAACTTTTTAATTCTGAAACCAAATAAAGCTCTTTAAACCTTATGCTAACAGGATTGTATTCAATCAAATTGCCTAAAATGACCATTAGGAGACTTAAGTGGTTTAATTTTTTTGACTGTATGTAAAGTATAGTACACCTGTGGTTTTCCTGATCAACAATCTATATTAGTTTTATGTTATGTAGTAGAAGTAATTTGAAATCTCAGCAGAGATTAAACGAATAACCAAAATTCAGCATCCACTTTTTAGACTAGCATGCATGTAATAAGAGAAAGAGCAGTGTTTAATTCCTACTACAAACCAATCATACATCATATCACATTGTTCTTGCCATTCTAAAATGAATGGCTGAAATTAGATACTGCACAGAACTGCTCTTTCACTACAGTAGTTACTATTTTCAGTTGTATTGAGTTAAATAATGAAAACGTCAATAGCGATGTACTTATCTTAGCAGTACTTATCTAAGATGTTTCTGATATGTGATTTTGGGTTACTGAACTTTTTCTGAAATGGGGATCCATGTAGCAATAGAAAGATTTTTTAAGTAGAATCAGGAAGCATTAGAACCTCAATTAATATTGTTGCTAGGTTATTCAAAATATAAGTGCAAAGTCTGATTATCATTTTTTGTCTAAAATTAGCTCAGCTGCGCCATACATCCAAATGAGTATGGGCACTTTTAGGGTCCATGCTGATGGGCTTTTCTTTATGTCAGAACTGCTTCTTTTCCTGTACAAGTCAATAAGGATGCAAATGCAGCTTGAAGCTAGTTGATACAGCTTAGAAGGCGGTCCACCTCTGGTCAAAAGGATGTTACTTGCAGGTCAAATGCACCTGTTAATGAACTCGGAATGATTTCAGAAGCATCTGAAACTGATCACAATGCAAGTAGAATACACCAGAATGCACATTGCTGTTTCCCATTGACATAGGGGTTGATTTATTAAAGACAAATAGCATTTACTCCAGGATAAATAGACTGAGCGTTTGCTTTAGAGCTTATTAAATGAGGAGAAGCTCTGCTGACTTCCATTATCTAACCATGTTCAAGCAAAAATGCTGCTATTTTGTTTTTCTTGCATGAGATTGGGGATTCTTTGCAAAGTGAAGCTTCACCTCATTTAATAAGCTGTGGCGGAAATGCCCTTGCAGAGCACAACTGCACATGCAAAGCGCATAGCCTATTTGCCTTTAGTAAATCAACTCTATATACTCTTATAGCCACTGGGGTCATTTTTATTTATAAATATGGATAAGTGAATGTATCTGGGTTTGGTTCAACTTAGGTCAGAACCCCATTGAAGTCAAAGTTAAAGCCAGAAGCCCTTCCTCAAACCGTTCTTGGAAGCTACACATATTACAGTGTTTTTTTCCATCCCTCCAATGGTGAATTGAGCAAGAAGTAGCAAAATGACTGACACATGCTGATGTAGATTGTCTAGGAATAATTTACTATTTAACAAAAAAGGTCTTTTTCAAAAATTTGCAGCCAGGAACAATTGTGAAATTCCTTTTAAAAATACACATGTAGCTAATTAACAGTGAAGTACATGTGGACTTGGGGATAGGCTGCGAAAAAAAATAAAAAAAAATTACCCCTACAATAATATGGGAAAATTTTTTGATAAAAAATATGCCCTGTGAAAATACACATGCAGCCATGTATCATTAACATACACGTGGCAAAATTAAGAAATATGCCCTTTTAAAACCCACTTTTTCAGCCCGTTATGACTCTAGATAGTGTCTGTAAAGACACTGAAGAACACACAGAACAGGTTTAATATGTAATAATCCCTCCTCATCCCATCCCACCAAAAATTCCCCAAGTTACATAGCATTTTGCTACAATTTAGTAAGGGTTCACAACTAGTTTAGGAGTTTAGGTGACCACTGCCTACAAGTCCTATGCTAATCTGTCCTTCTGCACTTTATCAGCAGCACTCTATATCTTTTATATGGCTTTTATGAACCTTGCTTTTTTTATAGTGAGGGGCTGGCCAAAAAAAAAGTCCCAACTTTTGGCTATTCTAAGCCACCTGACCTAAGTTCAGAGGACAGGTAGTGTATTATTGGTAGGTGGTTGCTATGCTATAGATTGTAAGTTTGAAAGAGCAGGGCCCTCAATCCCCTCATGTTTTGCATTGTATTGTTATTGTTCTGTCACATGTTCTGTCCCCCTTTGTAATGTACAGCGCTGAGCGAACTATCGGCGCTTTATAAATACTGTATAATAATAATAATAAGACTGCATTCATTCACTGTGTCAGTGAACTGTGAATGAGTTGGGTTCAACGCAAACCCAACCTTGACCTGAACCCAAAGCTCACCCCTATTTAAAAAAATAAAAGAGTCTGGTTAATATGTCCTTTCTTTGAATTGCATACCATATGGAATACTACTACTAATAATAATAATATAATAATAATAATAATAATCAATGCATTAGGAAAAGTAATCATTTGCTTGATATTCAGGCTAAAGAGAGATATGTCTTGACACCAACCTCACTGTCCAATGTATGACTCTGAACTTCTCACAAGTAAACTGACTTTGCTGACAGTAGTAGGCAGTACACCAAACCTTTTCACTTTAAATATTAATTGTGTAATGAGTGTAATGGTTAGTGATGACTGCACATAATCACAAATCAGGTGAACTGTCAAGATGACATTTTTTTTATTTGCAGTATATGCATATAATCTTATCCAATCCATAGGAAATTATACCATTAATACATTGTGATCAATGATCTACTGAAAAGATCTGCATGCCAATAGGCAGGTAATCAAAACTTGCCGAACTGGTGATTGTCAATCTGTGACTATTCATCACCAGCAATTACATTTGTCCAAGGTACTCAGTCATGAAGTTTGGTTCCCCACATATAAAAAATGTTTACCAATTTATTCTAAAAGGCCTGTACTGTGGAACACTAAATATTTTTTCTAACCATATTAATTTCTAAAGCAATGATAAATCGTAACACTATAGTCACAGATGGGGCATTGCCCTGTGTGAGTGCATTTTTTGCTTGAGTGCAAAGCAGCAGTTGAACACAGCAGTTTAACTAATGCAGGATAACTAAAGCAGCAAGAAGATACAACAAAGAACTCTACTGCACTCTGGATGGACTGCAAGCAAAACACCCTGGAACATTTCCTACAAGTCTGATTCCCACTCCATCTACCTTTTAATATGCCCCCTCTACTCCTCCTTTTCATATTACTAGCCTCTGTTCTCAAAATATAAGTTCTTTACCCCTCTGCTCCACCCCAAAGCTTATACATATCACCCTAAACTCCAGTATCCCACCCACACACCAGGCACCCTCCTTCCTCCAGGAATAGCCACAATCCACTGAATTTAATTTCAATCCCCATGCTCCTAAAAACCACTCTCCATTTTTCATGTGCACTCTGGAATGCCTACTCTGACTGTAATAAGCTCACCTCTGTCTATGACCTTTTTGCCTCCCACTCCCTTAACCTACTAGCAATTACAGAAACCTGGCTTCAAGCATCTGATTCTGCTTCTCCCACAGCACTTTCCCATGAAGGCCTCCACTGGACTCACTCACCCAGACCCAGTGGTCGGAAAGGAGGTGGAGTTGGTTTGCTTCTATCCCCACTAAGCACCTTTCAAGTCCTCCCTACCTCTCCCTCTCTATCCTTATCTTCTTTCGAGACTCACTGCATTTGGCTGTTTTCTCCCATTTCTCTGAGGGTTGCAGTAATCTATCGTTCTCCTGGTCCAGTGTCGTGCTTTCTTGATGACTTCTCTGCCTGGCTACCCTACTTTCTCTCCTCTGAAATACCCACTATCATTCTTGGAGATTTTAACATCCCCATTTATGTGAACAACCAAGCTACATCCCAACTCTTCAACCTAACCTCATCTTTTGCCTTAACACAATGGACACAGTCCTCCACTCACTCTGATGGGAATACATTAGACCTTGTTTTCTCCCATCTTTGCACTCCCTACAACTTCAAAAACACCCCCTTTCCTCTGTCTGATCATAATCTCATCACCTTCACAGTGTCTTCATCTTCAAACACCTATCCCTCCAAGCAGCAAACAATTACCCGCAGACATCTTCACAACTTTAACCCTTCTCTTTTCCATTCTGCAATTGACCACCTCTATGACATGATCTCTGCCCTATCCTGCCCTGACATGGCCACTTCTGTCTACAACAGTTCACTTTCATCCACACTAGACTCACTTGCTCCTCTAACTACACAAAGTATCAGGCCCCGACCATTGCAACCTTGGCAGACTGACAAGACTAGAAATCTTAAGAGACATAGTCGTGCACTGGAGCATTGTGGTGTAAAACCAAATCCCAGAAAGCATTCACCCTATATAAATCTGCTTTCTTAAAATATAATTCCTCCCTCCATGCTGCCAAACAAGCCTACTTTATCATTCTTATTAATACCTTTTCATCTAGTCCTCATCATCTCTTCTCTACTTTTAACTCTCTGCTTTCTCCACCTCCACCCAGTAACTTACTCACTGCTTACGAGAATGCCAGTCATTTCAGAAACAAGATTGATGAAATTCATAGGGGCATCTATGCCACACAGACATCTATCCCACTTAGCATTCCTTATACTAAACTTCCCTCAACATTTTCCTCTTTTGACCTTGCTACTACTGAAGAGATCACTAAAGTTTTCTCAGAAGCCCATCTCACCACCTGCTTCCTGGCTCCTGTTCCCTCATAACTAATATGGTCACCCTCTTCTTCTATCTTTTGCTCCCTCACTCACATATTCAATCTCTCCCTCTCTACTGGTGCCTTCCCCTCCCCTCTAAAGCATGCACAGGTCACTCTCATACTTAAAAAGCCCTCACTGGACCCCACCAACCTGAACAACTTAAGACCCATCACCCTGCAGCAGTTTACCTCTAACTCTTAGAACGCTTAGTCTACAATCGCCTGAGCTCCTTCCTCACTGACAACAACCTTCTTGACCCTTTACAGTCTGGCTTTCACTCACTCCACTCCACTGAAACTTCCCTACTAAAACTCAATAATTTATGAACTGCTAAAACCAATGGCCACTACTCCATACTCTTACTACTTGACCTCTCTGCAGCTTTTGATACTGTTGACCATCCCCTCCTCCTCAAAAAACTCCACTCTCTTGGCATCTGAGACTCTGCTCTCTCCTAGTTCTCGTCATACCTATCTCAGCGCTCCTTCAGCTTTACCTATAACTCTGTATCCTCCTCTCCACTTCCTCTTTCTGCAGGGGTCCCTCAAGGTTCTGTTCTTGGACCCCTTCTCTTCTCCATCTACACCTGCTCCCTTGGTCACTTGATAAACTCCCATGACTTTAAGTACCATCTCTATGCTGATGACACACAAATCTATCTTTCTACTCCACACCTCAACCGTTCAGTCTCATCTCGCATTACTAACCTACTAAGTGACATATCAGCATGGATGTCACTCCACGTTCTCAAACTAAATCTTTCTAAAATGGAGCTCATACTATTCCCTCCAGTCTGTGCGCCCTCCCCTGACTTCTCCATCAAGATCAATAATAAAACCATCAGTCCCTCTCCATATGCCAGGGTACTAGGTGTAATCCTGGACTCCCATCTATCCTTTCAGCCCCAAATCCAATCACTGTCCAAATCTTGTAGACTTCACCTTCACAACATCTCCAAGATATGCCTGTTTTTAACCACTGAAACCACTAAGCAACTTATTCACTCCCTTTTTATCTCTCGCCTTGACTATTGTAAATCCCTCCTCATTGGCCTACCTAATTGCAGGCTATCCCCTCTTCAGTCTATCATGAATTCTGCTGCAAGACTCATCCACCTTACCAACTGTTCCATATATGCCATCCCTCTCTGCCAATCCCTTCACTGGCTTTCCATTACCCAACGAATAAGATTCAAAACATTAACAATAACATGTAAAGCCATTTATAACTGTGGCCCAAATTACATCACCAATCTTGTCTCAAAATATTATCCAAACTATCCTTTCCACTCCTCCCACAACCTCCTGCTCTCTAGCTCCCTTGTCTCCTCCTCCCATGCTCGTCTCCAGAACTTCTCCAGAGCCTCCCCATCCTCCTGAAACTCTCTACCCAATCTATCCAACTATCGCCTACTCTGCCCACTTTTGGGCGATCTTCAGGGAAGCCTATCCTGCCACCAGCTATTTCTCCTATCAGTTCATCCCCCACAGTTATTACCTTTTGTACCACCAGCCCCTCCTTCTTAGATTGTAAACTCCAAGGAGCAGGGCCCTCCTAACCCTCTTATATTGAACTGTATCATTGCTGTATTGTCTCCCTTTATATTGTAAAGTGCTGAGCAAACTGTTGGCACTACATAAATCCTGTATATTAATAATTATAGATGACATTGTATACAACTCCCAGTTGACTCTCTCTGGACTCTCTCTGAAAGACCAAGGTGGACATTGAAAATAGGAATGTATTTTATCCAACTCATTCCCCAATAACCGAAGCAGTAAATTGAACTTTGGGGACAATGAGAAAATTGTCAGACTTGTGAGAAGAAAGTGCTTTGTTCTCATGTAAGAACATGATTGCAAAGCGGCAGAAAGGATTCAGTGTGTTGTTTTATGTAAAACAGAAGCATCTGGAGCAACCCTCCTGATGCACAGCACTGTTTGTTCAATAGCAAAATAGCAGAAAGACTTTGATCTCAGGATGTGGCAGAAAATCTCACTAGACTATTGAACAACAAACACAGAATGGAAACCAATCGATGTGACAGTCTTGGTGAAAATGAGGCAGCTTTGGAGTAGGTCAGATGCTTGTACAAATATAGAAAGAACCAAATTGTTAAGGCTGTGACTTGGTGTCAGCTACAGAAATACATTAAATTTAAAACAATATATGTACACTCTAATTCAGCTTTTGCAGAAATCTTGATTAAGAAGCCAATTCAGAACTGCTAAAAAAAGCCCATGCTATAACTACCACAACAGTCATGCAAAACCAATGCAATACAGCTACTGCACTTTTCAGATTAGGCACTCAATCGTTATTACTCACAGGGTTTCATAGACAACTAAATGATTTTTCAGATAATTGTATTTTAAGAAATGAAATTACCATCAAGCACAGATTATCTAAATCTGTATGCACAATTGTATAATAATGATGTCCACAGAATAAAATTATACAATATCCTCAATGTCCAGCTAAAAAAAGTGACATTTAAGCATATATACATGCAGACTACTCTCATCCAGTGATAAGTCATTTCTGCTCATGTGTGGAGTTCTGGACTGCCCACATTTTAGGCTATAGATATAAGTGATTAGAAATTTAGGAAACATAAGTTCAGTCTTACCTTTGGACCCTGTCGGCCTGGGTATCCAGGCAAACCTGGAACACCAAGCTTGCCCTAAAATGCAAAGAAAAAGAAAAAAATGGTTAGTGCATCTAAAATCTATAGCAACCACATAAAGTGTATAAAATATGGATTTAATTGTATGTGTTAATACACATTAAAAAAAAAAAGAAACAAAACACAAGATAAGGATCAAAGTACACATATGCCTGTATTATTTAAATATTTTGTACTGTCCAGGTTTCTACGGAGCCATTAAGGCAGCAGACTTAGGGTACTGCTACTCCCTCCTCACTGGCTTACCTTTCCATAGACTATCCCCCTTCCAGTTCATCATGAATACTGCTGTCAGACTCATCCACCGTACTAATGTCAATGTCTGCCACCCTCTTTGCCAGTCCCTCCACTGGCTCCTGCTCACCCAATGAATAAAATTCAAGATACTTACAACAACTTATAAAGCCATCCACAACTCAGTCCCTAGTTACATCACTAACCTGGTCTCAAAATACCCAAATTCTCTATGTTCCTCCCAAGACCTTCTGCTTTCTAGCTCCCTTGTCACTTCCTCCCATGCTCGCCTCCAGGACTTCTCCAGAGCTGCTCCCATCCTCTGGAACTACCTTCCCCAATGTGTCCAACTATCTCCTCTGTCCATTTTTAGATGATCCCTGAAAACCCATCTTTTCAGAGAAGCCTATCCTGCCCCCACCTAACAACTGTACATGTATTTTATCTATCAGCCCATTCCCCACAGTTATTACCTTTACCTCTCGACCCTCCCTCGTAGATTTTAATCTCTAACAAGCAGGGCCCTCTGAATCCTCTGGTATTAATTTGTATTGTAATTGTACTGTCTGCCCTTATGTTTTAAAGCGCTGTGTAAACTGTTGGCGCTATATAAATCCTGTATAATAATAATAATACTACAAGCTTAAACCGCCAAAAGTGAGGCATAGCATGGTCAAGTTTAGTCTTGTGTTCTGTCAAGATTAAGGGTGCAGATACTCTTAAGTCTAGGTGAACATCTAGTAGACCAGTAACAGGAAATTGGTGGCAATCAATACGTTTAAGGGGTCCTGAGCTATTAGGAATGATATTCATTGGACATGTGAAAATACATTTTTGGTGATCCCAGATGACAGGCTAAATAAAAAGATGAGAATATCAGAGCAAATTTTAATATTAGGTTTGGTTTGCCATCAGATACATTTTTAAGTGATTTAAAAAAAAAAAAACATTTTAGCCCACATGACAGCAGTGCTTTTTATTTACTGGTAAAGAGATATGAGCAGAAGTGTACAAGTTGTTCCCCTAATAAATACTTGCCTTTTCACCAGCTGGACCAGCTGAACCAAGGTCCCCATTTGGACCAGATCTTCCCTTTGGACCTTCAGGACCATCTTCTCCTCTTGGACCTAATGGGCCTACTTCTCCCTATAATAGGCAGGTAAAGCAAAACATCATCCATAACATACAGTATTCTACAATACTTGTTCAAAAGTAAAAGAGTTACGCCATCTGTACCTTTTTATCAAACCAATAAGAAAAAAACACCTTGGGGGAGATTGACTAAAACTGGTTCACTCAAAATCTGGTGCAGCTGTGCATGGTAGTCAATCAGCTTCTGACGTCAGCTTGTTCAATTAAGCTTGACAAAAAAAAACCTGGAAGCTGATTGGTTTTTTCTTTGCAGAGCTGCACCAGAGTTTGCACCATACATCAGTGGCATAACTAGAACCTTCAGGGGCCCAGATAGAAACCATGAAGGGTCCCTTGATCCCAGGCTGAGGCCCTTCCCTCTGAGCCTAGTGGCGTAATACCAGGGCCTGATCGCAAGTGCGACTTTTGTGACCCTGGTAGTTCCACCACTGGTGTCAGTAGTTATTTCTATTTTTGTTATTGTTTATTTATTTTTATTTTTTATCATTTAACCACTTGCCCTCCTGAGGATTTACCATCCTTCTTGACCAGGCCTCTTTTTGCTACTCGATGCTGCACTAATTCAACTGATAATTGCACGGTCATGCAATGCTGTACCCAAACAAAATTTACGTCCTTTTTTTCACACAAATAGAGCTTTCTTTCGATGGTTAATGATCACCCGTATGCTTTTTATTCTTTGCACTATAAATAAAAAAAGACCGAAAATTTTGAAGAAAAACGATATTTTTTACTTTTGGCTATAAAAAATATATAGCAAACTCAAAGTTAGTTATAAATTTAGGCCAAAAATGTATTCTGCTACATGTTTTTGGTAAAAAAATCCTAATAAGTGTATATTGATTGCTTTGTGTGAACTTTAGAGTGTCTACAAACTATGGTATAGATCAGGGGTGGGCAAACTTTTTGATTTGAGGGCCGCAATGGGTTCATATATTGGACCCGGGGGCCGGACCAAGAATAGATGAATGATGTGTATGTGTCATCCATAGTAAGTATAGTAATATTCCCCCATAGTAAGCATAGTAATTAATCCCCCATATAGTAATTTTCCCCCATAGTAATTCATCCCCCATATAGTAATTCATCCCCCATAGTAATTCATCCCCCATAGTAATTCATCCCCCATAGTAATTCCCCATATAGTAATTCATCCCCCATAGTAATTCATCCCCCATATAGTTTCATCCCCCCATAGTAATTCATCCCCCATAGTAATTCATCCCCCATATAGTAATTCATCCCCCATAGTAATTCATCCCCCATAGTAACTCATCCCCCATATAGTAATTCATCCCCCATATAGCAATTCATCCCCCCTATAGTAATTCATCCCCCCTATAGTAATACATCTCCCCCCATATAGTAATTCATCCCCCATATAGTAATTCATCCCCCCTATAGTAATTCATCCCCCCCATAGTAATTCATCCCCCCTATAGTAATTCACCCCCCCTATAGTAATTCATTCCCCATATTGTGTCAATTCACTTACCTTTGCTCCGCGCGTTCCTCTTGCCGTGTTCCCTGCGCCGTTCCGGTCTTCAGGGCGGACTGTGAGAGGAGCCTAGCTCCCCTGCTGCCCCGCCTCACGCTGCCCCGCTCCTCACGCTGCCCCGCCTACACACATCCTGACAGGCAATGTTTGCCACGCTCTGCGGGACGGATTAAAAGGTCCGCCGGGCCGTATACCATTGCTGGTATAGATACTGCAATTTACGCCATTTTTTTTGCTAGACAGCGCTGTACTAGTTTAACAGACGGTTGCGCGGTCATGCAATACGATACATAAATGAAATCAATGTCCTTTTTTTCACACAAATAGAGCTTTCTTTTTGTGGTGTTTGATCACCTGTGTGCTTTTTATTTTTGGCGCTATAAACAAAAAATTTTGAAGAAAAAAAATTTTTTTCAGAAAAAAAAAACTATATTTTCTCATTTCGGTCATAAAAAATATCCAAAAAACCTAAAATTTCGGCATAAATTTCGGCAAAAATGTATTCTGCTACATGTTGTTGGTTAAAAAAAATCCCCAAAAGTGTATATTGATTGCTTTTTGTGAAGGTTATAGCATCTACAAACTATGGTATATATAATGGAATTTACACAGCTTTTACTTTCTGACTGCCCATCACATTTCTTGAGGTGCTAAAAAACCAGGAATAGTACAAACACCCCCAATGGACCCCTTTTCGGAAAGTAGACACCCTAAGCTATCTGCTGAGAGGAATATTGAGTCCATGAAAGAAAGATTTTTTTTTTTTCCCACAAGTTTCTTGAAAATGACAAAAACATTTTTTTTTTACACAAAGTTGTCATTTAAATTATTTATTTCTCATACAAGCCATGGGTATATGTGGAATTACACCCCAAAATACATTCTGCTACTTCTACCGAGTATGAGGATACCACATGGGTGAGACTTTTTGGGAGTCCGGCCACATACAGGAGCCTGAAATCCAATGACCACTTTGAAAACCTGAAGGTGCGTAACTTCCTCATTTCACTTCCTCACTACCTATCACAGTTTCGGAGGCCCTGAAATGCCAGGATAGCACCAAACCCCCCGAAACAACCCCTTTTTGGAAAGTAGACAACCCAAGGAATTTAAAAAGAAACATGGTGAGTATTTTGCAGATCTCATTTTTTCTCACAAAGTTTTGAAATATAAAAAAAAAAGAAAAATATATGTTTTTGTTTTTTTTTTTCTTAATTTTCCAAAAACTTGTGGCAACAAATGAGATCTGAAAAATACTCACCATTCTCCTTATCAAATAGTAAGCATTTTTCAAAGGCAAATTAAAAAAAAATACACTTTTTTTACTTCTAATGTACAAAAAAACAATATATTGGCCAATTAGTTGGTAACATATAAACAATGATAGTATGTCGAGTAAATAGATACCAAACATGACATGATTTAAAACTGCGCATGCCCTGTGCAATGCCTACAAACAATTTTAATATCCAAGCTACCTTTACAAGCTACCATTTTAGATTTACAGACGAGGTCTAGTGTTAGAATTACTGCCCTTGATCTGACATTCACAGCATACCTCACATGCATGGTGCAACCGATCTGGGGTCTATCATAGATCTCTCCTCTGCCCTTACATTATCTAATCAAACCAAGATCGGTGTGATCAGATACTTTCCCAATTTACAAATGGCGCTGTTGATATCCTGCGAAACTGAAGTGATGAAATTCTCGTAGCTTCTGATTTCTTAGACTATAGAGATGATTGGCACCATTCTGGTCTCCAATCAGCTCTATACTCAGGTGGCAGAAACACCGGCTGCATTCCAGGTTCCCCTGATGGCACGGGACTGCCCGAGAAGGCCATGGAAGGGAGCGGGGGAGAGGGGACATCATCTCCCGCTGCTTTTAAAAGCAACCCTGCAGCTAATTAGACAATAGGATTGCTTTTACATGAAAGCCGATAATCTACTGAAAAAAAAATGATACCAGAATGATGCCTGCAGCTGTAGGCATCATCCTGGTATAACCATTCAAAGTCCAGTGACATACCAGTATATCGCTGATCCTTGTTGGGTATATATGCTATGTTCTTTTTTTTTTGTATGCAGCCTGTGGGCTGAATGAAAAAAAGAGAAGAAATCTCTGCCAGAAAAAGTGTGTGGTATGTCCACCATTAGAATACCACCCTGTATCCACCCACTTCTAATGGTGGGCACACATTAGGTCACACTGTGCCACATGCGCCAGTTCCAAGATTGTACAAACGTCTAAATAGTGTCACGCTTGAATAAAATTTGTCCATGTATAAGTGGTACCCCATATGGAAAAAAGATGACACCAAGTCCCAAACTATCTTGCCACTTCTCCCCATGTAGTCTGGACATCCGGGGGGCTCCATATTTAAAGGTATGAAATATAGGGAAATTTTCAAGTATTACAGAAATATACTGCATATTTTTTTTATTATTGTGTGTGTGTAAAACTGACTGATTGCTTCCATACACCCCTGGTAACAACGCACCCCCCCTTTTCAAGCCCCCCGCTATGTATTCCAGGCTCCACTTGTCCATCTGCGGGCCTCTGACTGACATAGTGGGTGTTGTCAGTTGTCAGGTAGAGGGAAGGGAGGAGAGCAGACACACATTTGCTCTCCTCCCCTTCTTGTTGGTGGCCCATAAAGCAACATGTATGACGTCACTTCCGGGTCACCCAATCACTTTCACCAGCTAGCATAGTCAGGAAGAAATGTATTTCAATACGATCTGCATTGTAATACATTCAGTGGAGCACAGAAGAGACAAACAGGGTCTTTTAGACCCTGCATGTCTCATTAAAGAGAACCTATCCCCTAAAAATTAACACATAAGGGACTTTTAGTCCTCTATGTGATGAAAACAGTAAGTTAAAGGAAAAAATTGCAAAGTATTAAAGTACCACCCAAGCACATAACCACCCCCCTAAAAAAAAACATCTGAGGCCCCTCACCCCCACATATAAGTACGCGCGAACGCAAACTCATGTGTCGGGGGCTCCTACGCAAAGAAACATCAATTGCAATACACATGTTACATATCACCGCGCACGCAAAAAAAGTAAAGAAATAATTCTAGCACAAGACCTCCTCAGTAATGCTAAACTGATGACCTACAGGGGGCTTTTGAAGCATCGCCTATAGAAAATATAGGATACTGACGTTTGTCGCCATTTCATGGACGCACACAAATTTAAAGTTTGACATGTTAGGTATCTATTTACTTGGTGTAATCTAATCGTCGTTTTTATATTTTACCAAAAAAAGTGGGTAATTTATTGCATTTGTATGCCCAGTAATTCACTTTAGTGTGTATTTTTACTGAAATGTTGTCTTTCATATACCTTTGAAGTAATATTATGTGACATAAAAACTATTTTATTCTCTAGGGTGTCTGCTTTTAGAAAACTTATAATGTTTGGAATTTTAAGTGATCTTCAGGCCTAAAATAATTTTTAAACATGTGTGCAAAAAACATACAAA